AAAGTGTTCTAGCACGAAAATCTTGCCTATAAATAGCGTTGCGCGCCCTCTTATCAAATTCAAATTATCAACCTCGTCTATTTTGCTTGGGAACTAATGTGGCCGGAACCAAAGTTTACAGGACTGCGTTCTGTGGGATTCTCTCAAACGGAGCACTTCTACATTCCGATTGGTTGCCGCCGAACCGCGTCATTGCTTATTACCGCCGCTCTCGCCGTCCGAAACGCGCCGCGGCTCTCAATGAAAATGAATGACTTCCGGCCACTTTGACGCTCTCGCCGGTGGCGGTGTGAACGTACAGTAATGATGTGTGTTATCGTGCTTCTGCGGCGGGGCATATTTGGTGTGTGTGTGTGTGTGTGTGTGAGACGCACTCTGGAACTCACCGCAGGAGGACAGGCCTCCAGATCAGTGGCTCCGTCTCCGATCATCACCACCGTCTCGAAGCCGTAGCGCTCCTTCAGACCCCGGATCACCGCGCCCTTCCCCCCCGACTGCGCCGTGGGCTGAGACTCGTCGAACCCAGCGTACTCGCCTAAAGGAGCACAACACACAACAAAGCCTCGGTAACTTACAACACACAAGCTTCATCAAACAATCACAACTAGGGGTGTAACGGTACATGTATTCGTATTGAACCGTTTCGGTTCGAGGCTTCCGGTTCGGTACGCATACAAACCGAACGATTGCTTGGACCATTTTTCCTGCCGGCAAAATTCGTGCTGACGCGGCCAACACAACGTTGCGCAACATCAAATGGCAAAGCAGAACGAAACTGCGCTCCTCGTTATGTGCTTCATGGATCGTTTATCAGTTCGGACCAGCAACATCTGTGCAGCGCGAGCCGTCAAGAGCCAGTCCCGAAAGTCTATTTGGTAGTGATACAGCTCTCAAATTTAATCAAAAATATCTTCATTTGTGTTCCGAAGATGAACGAAGGTCTTACGGGGTTGATACAGCATGGGGGTGAGTAATTAATGACTTAATTTTCATTTTTGGGTGAACTAACCCTTTAACACACAGCGCTAAGAGATCCGGTAAAGAAAACATTTGAATTCGCCACTGAGGTAATAACATCGCTGCGAGATCTAGTGAGATGCATTCACATTTCTCCGTTATTAACCGTAGATCTCTATTAGATCAAACAGCGCTGTCATGGAAACCAGGAGAAACATTGTGCCGTGAATGAACTAGTACTTTACGTACACAGACCAGCAACATTCACCATGGATTTAATATAGCAACACTAACTCTAACCAGTTTGGCTGGAATGGTGAAATGCTTTCAAGTACTTCATACATCTTTATCCAGCACTTCAAAATTCAAACATTATCTAAATAAATATATATTTAAAAGTTATTTTTAATGTGATGACCAAAACATTATTTGTTCATCCTTCAAAGATGACCCCCATTTATAAACCTGAAAGTTTCAAGATCTAGGAAAACTCACACTTATTTAAAAATATTTTTTCTTTAAACAAATAGGAAATTTCTCTGGCATTTCCTTCTTTTTGCTGTATCGAAAACGTACCGAACCGTGACTTGAAAACCGAGGTACGCACCGAACCGTGATTTTTGTGTACCGTTACACCCCAACTCACAACACACATGCCTCGTCGGTTACTTAAAGGATTAGTTCACTTTTGAAAAAACTTTTGCTGATAATTTACTCACCCCCATGTCATCCAAGATGTCCATGTCTTTCTTTCCTCAGTCGAAAAGAAATTAAGGTTTTTGATTAAAACATTCCAGGATTTTTCTCCATATAATGGACTTCAATGGGAACCGGATGGTTCAAGGTCCAAAAGACAGTTAATAACAGTTTCAGATGCAGCTTCAAATGTCTTTAAACGACACCAGATGATGAATAAGGGTCTTATCATGTGAAACTATCGGTTATTTCAAAGCTTATTCCAAAAATGTAACTTTTCTAAGGACAAATGCTAGCCTTGCTCTATTCTGTGAGGCGCGTTTGTAACGTCACATATTACGTAATTACGTTCAAAAGGTAACGGGCGACGTAGCCGGAAGTACAGAGTCAGAGTATTTACAAGTTGAACGCATAGGTTGAACGTGCAAACTAACTCAAACGCCGTTTACAAAAAAAGGAATTAAAAGGAAAAACAACGATGTCGGACGGTTACGTCGCCCGTGACCTTTTGAAGGTAATTACGTACTACGTGACGTTGCAAACGCGCCTCACAGAATAGAGAAAGGCTAGCATTTGTCCTTAGAAAAGTTACATTTTTGGAATAAGCTTTGAAATAACCGATCGTTTCACATGATAAGACCCTTATTCATCGCCTGGAATCGTTTAAAGACATTTGAAGCTGCATCTGAAACTGTTATTAACTGTCTTTTGGACCTTGAACCATCCGGTTCCCATTGAAGTCCATTATATGGAGAAAAATCCTGGAATGTTTTCATCAAAAACCTTAATTTCTTTTCGACTGAGGAAAGAAAGACATGGACATCTTGGATAACATGGGGGTGAGTAAATTATCAGCAAAAGTTTTTTCAAAAGTGAACTAATCCTTTAACACACACACCTCTCGTCACTCACTCGCCTGAAGGAGCACAAAACACACGCCACAGGCTACGTTTACACGCACACCTGTTTTGTTTCAGTCGGGCCGAGTTGATTCCGACTGCTGAATCTGAGCATTACTAAACGCAGTGCCCCATGAGCCAGTGCAGGACGACGCCTCTTACCGTTGAAGTAAAACTTGAGGCGGTTTGCGTAGACGTGGTCCAGGGGAATGTGGAGCTGCGACGCCACGTGTTCGACGATGCAGCGGAAGCCGCCGGAGATGAGGAAGACCTTCACGCCGCGCTGATGAAGACGCTCCACCAGCTCCCTGAGGACACACACGTACGAATGCAGCGCACAATGGCCACATGCACTTTAGTGTACTTCATTTCACTGTAAATAGCATAATGTGTAGTGTATATTGTGTAGTACATAGTATATAGTCTACACTCTGTGTATAATGTATAAGGTGTAAAGTGACGTGCACATGTGTAAAAAGTGTATACTGTGTGGTGTAAAGTAGTGTAAATGCAAAAAAGTGTGTAGTTTCTACTATAGTATATACACTGTGAATATAGTGTTGTGTTTACTGTATAGGGTAGTCTACAATGTTAAAAGCGCAATATAAATGAGGATGACTAGTGTGTGTGTATAGGGTGTAAAGTGTAGTGTAAATGTATAAAAAGTATATAGGTTGTAAAGTCTGTTTATTGTGAATGTATAAGTGTGTGTATAGTGTAGTTTGTATAAATATTGTGAGTAGTGTGTTTGTAGTGTATCAAAAGTAACTTTATTAATAGTGTGTATATAGTGTAGTGTGTGCAAAGTGTATTGTGAAAAGCTTCGCACACACACCTGATCCCCGGCGTGAGCTGCGGCGGGTGGTCCGTCAGCAGTTTGTTGACCTGTTCCCTCGAACACTTGATGATGGACAGACGCTCACTCAGAGCTGTGTGGAACGAGACGGAGCCGCCCATGGCACTCCGGGTCCTGCGGACACACACAACCACGGGGGTGCGCTCTCAAACTCAGTGCTGTGAGTGTTTGCACACTGGCTAGGGTGTATGTGTGTGTGTACTGTTGCCTTGTCCAAATACCATTCTCAAGTCAGCAAGACTGTCCCATGTCTTAAAGATGCCAAAGTGCAGTTCCCTTAATGCACACTAAACCCACACTATCTCTAGGCTAAGCGTATCCCATAATGCATTATGTTCGTGAAGTTATGTGCCCCGAATTCACAAGATGTTAAGGAAACCATTCCACAGTCATTTACATTAATTACATGCATTTAATTTGGTAATAAAAACAAAGTGCTGACATTTTATTGGTGCAAAGATGAGAATGGTGTGTGTGTGTGTGTGTGTGTAGGCCTATTCTGTACAACATTTGCAAATGTTTTGATTGTGTGTCTTCTGCTAGTTACAGCGACTGCTGAACAGACTACATGAGGTTTATTCTAAAATGCAAAGTATTAAAAATAGAAGAAATAAAAGCCATGTAAACACTTGCATTTGTTTTGCAAGACTATAAATTAAGTGTGTCCTATCGAGTAATCATGATTACACACTTGCAGTCTTCATGACTATTCAGAGAGGAAATACGTCATGCAAGCAGACAAGAGCAAAGACCGCAAGTGTGCGTATTTTGGACAAGGCGAGTGCGTGTGTGTGTGTGTGTGTGTGTGTGTGTGTGCTGACATCTCCGTGACCGCGTCCCCGACGCCGCAGAACTTCGCGAGCTCGTCGATGCCCTCCTCGCGGATCACGGTGCTGTCCACGTCAAAACACACGGCCTGCGCGCGCCTGAAGAGCTCCTGCGCGTGAGCCGCCGTTGTCATGGTGAAGCCTGGGCGACAGGAAACAGTCGTGGTGACGCCACTACAACAACAGCTCGTAAACATCAGCAAGAGCCACTGAACCTCGACACAACACGAGCCTGGGTGCCAAGCGTTTAGTATGCGGCAGCACTCACGCTCGTTTTGCACAACAGGCGCAGTGAAGCGTTACACACACGCATTCATTCATCTGGACAAACACACACAGTTGTTGCGTCAGCTGGTCTCATTCGCGAGCCGCCACCGGGAAACACGAACACACATACGTGTATAAACTACACAAAACAAGAATTTGAAGCACTCATTCAGAATTAAGATAACATTCGTACACTTACCACCAACAATCAAAAACAAGACACTTGACACGTTACGAGCATTGCGTCTTCGCTGCTTACCTTAATGCGCGCGGGTGAGATTCCTCGGCTGACTGTCACGAGCTCGTTCAAATCTCCTGCAAAGCGTCTCTGTGCGGCAGCGCGTGCGCGCAGTCATCTGCCATTCATTACTACTGAGCTCACGGACGGAGTCGGCCAATCAGATCACACTCATGTCATTCACACACCACTCTGATTGGTCCGTGGTTTTCATAGCTATGACGGAACAGGTCAAGCGAGTACTCATTCAGTATAAAACCACAAAATAATAATAGTACAGTAAAAAAAAAAAAAAAACACTTATAACACTTAACACTTAAAAAAACCACTTATAACACCTAACACTTACAAAAAAAAAAAAACACTTATATCAATATCATTTCTAAATGTCGTTTTAAAACGTTTGGTCTGCGGCTGAGTGAAACTAAATGCACATCAAATAATAAAATGTAAATTTTAATTTAAAAATACTACTTTAAGGCAATTTACCTTAAAAAACACAAATAACAACGACTTACTCAACCTCGTCTGTATGTTGTTTCTTAAAGTCCCCGTGACATCAAAATTGAACCTATTTACTTTGTTAGCGCATATTTCTAGTCTTGTGGTGAACAATTAATCCGTGCAAGTGAATATATATTAAAAAAAATGTTTTACCTTAGTAATCTTTAATCAAAATTTGAAAAGTTACTTCCGGTCTGGAACAATTTCTTTTTCTGATGACGTAGGTTTCACACACGCATCACACTCAGACATCTCATACTCACACACACACACACACACACACACACACACACACACACACGCATACAGTATGTACAGTAGCTATGAGAGGATATGCATGTCCAAACTTGCCCTGGGCCCCACCCCAATGAGTGGGACATGTTACCCTCATGACGAGCTGGAATGAGGATCACCCAGTCATTTGTTTGCAGGGTCACAATCACAGTCTATACTCACAGTAAACAATTCAAAGAGCTTTAGGGACTATACAGACCTCACCCTACCGGATATCTGTGCAAAACAGACCTTGTTATTTCAGCCCTCCCTTGTTTCTGAATATGGGTTTACATTGCAAATGCTATAGATTAAAAAAGAAGTTAAAAAAGTTAACATTGGCCCTATGGTAAAGATGAGGAGCCAAGGATCTTACCGGTTACACAACCCTGCTAGTTGAACCCTGGTCTTAAAGTCCCCCTGTGGTGAAAATCAAATTTTTAATGCATCAAGTTTACATTTTATGTGTGTATGTGGTGTTTTTAATGTTTTAAACCATGTGTAAGTTCATAAGTTGAGTATTTCCCCCTTAAAACTGTAGTGACAGTTTCAAAAACACGGTGTGAAATCGCTGGTGTTTCTGACGTCACAAACGACCTTGTGACCAATCAGATCAACATGTGATCGTCAACCAGCGGATCTCTGGGCTGAGTGAGTGGAGGAGGGGCTCATTTGCATATTCATAAAACCACACATACTAAATGAGGCAAGGGTGTCGAGTTACATTCGAGATATTTTAAGCCCTCATTTTGGCGATTAAAGACCCAGATAGCAAACTGACATTGAATCAACGTGGAAATATGACATCGAAACAACGTTGATCTGACATTGTTTTGCTCATCGAATTAACGTTGAACCAACGTCAGACGCGTCATTCTTTCAAAACTAACGGAAAATCAACTTGAAATCAACGCGTTGTTTTAACGTTATGAAAGCAAACCAATTTTCGATTTCATTTAGATTTGAAGAATGCCGCGTCTGACGTTGGTTCAACGTTAATTCGATGAGCAAATCAACGTTGTTTCAATGTCATGAGAGACGTCGTTTCCACATTGATTCAATGTCAGTTTGTTGTCTGGGGATGAGTTTAGGGGATATAAACCACCCTTTAAGTCCCCCTTGTAGTCAATGTAACACACCATTGGCGTTTAGTACCATTTTTGTGCAAAGCTAACAATTCAAAGTGTATTTTTTGCCAGCAAGAGTTTTTTTTTACCAGTGTTGATCACACTGGATCCATATCCAGCTAATGTTACGCTTCAAGTTGCAAACATCCCTCCAGAAGTGGTTTCAGAGGAACTGATATCATGCATCCACTCGACTAACCGCTAGTTAAGATACAGTCGTAACAGAATGGCTGTTAGTGCAACCAGCCCCAGGTTTGACTGAATCCGGCCCCTACTGATCTGTCAGGTCACATGATCACACGCACAAGGCCGCCTCATCCAGACTCTAGGTGCGTTCCTTCAACCGTAAGTGACTGCGAAGTGGACTTCACAGGGTGTTTCTCAATCTCAAGTGAGATTCAATCGAAGGGAACGAACATGTTCAGTTCGAGGGCACTGCAAACAGCGTAGGGAACATCGATACATCACTTCACAGGAAGTGGAGAGTGAAGATCCCCCAACTGTCATTGAGTACCACGTCACCTGAGCCAACCAGAGCAGAAGGAAGAGATTAAAGGGTAACTAAACCCCTGGTCAGAGCCTGACTCCACCCACTGGCAATATTTGAAAATGCTGAAAAAGTGGGCAGACCCCAGCGGAGATAGAGGGGACGAAATAGACGCTAAAACACTCTATCCTGATCGTTTTCAATACTCACAATTCCAATTCCTGACGCCCTACAGTGGTTTTGACGACACAACATAGTTTTTATACTGCCAAGGGTGTGGTGAGCTGAAACCTGCGTACGTCACGAAGTGCGGAACATCCAATAGGAAAATTCAACTGCAGTAGCCACCGTTCAACCTGAAGAGGGCAGCACTAAGACGATTTTACATCATACATTGTAGAAATAAAACACTCGAATCAATGACTGGTATTAACAGAGCCCGTCTAACGGAGAGCATTGGCACTTCCTATTAGCCCCGTTGTGCATCATCTTGGTTGCAGTTCCATTAGAATTCCACTGGAGGTGATCGCGGGCGAGAGCAGAATGAATGGGAGTCTATGGGGCTAAACGGCTAAAAGTGTCTCTTCCACCTGCTTGTCGTTAAATTAACATGGATTTTATTGTTGATTCCGCAAGTTCAATATAGATTATAGGCCAAAAGTCGAATGAACGAGTACTTATGTCCTTTCGATTTCTTACAGGTTAGGCCGTTGTTGGCTGGAACGCGCTAGCATTCTGCTATTGTGTGACGTCATCACATTTTTGAATGGATTTTTAGAACAGATAAGTGCTTAAAAGTGTGTATTATCTTAGCCCTCCCTTTTGAATGCAACTTTCAAATTACTTGACAAAAATTACATCCTGAGAAAAGTGGATTTCTGGGGGTGAAACCCCATTGACTCCCATTCATTCTGCACTCGACCGCGAGCGCCCCCGCATGGACAGAGACGCGTTACTGCAGCCAGTCCAGAACCCGGAAGCAACCAGCCAGTGGAGACATTCTCTGGTATTAATAAAGATCCATTCTTACAGATCATTAACTAAAAAAAAAGCTGGTTTAGTGTTTAGTTACTCTTTAAGTTTAAATTGAAAAATTCTAACGGCTCTTGAGTTTACGTAGGCATTTGAGAACTCAGACTATGGAAATGTAACACTCATAACTCATATATTAAAAACAATATTTATATTGTGTAAATGAAAAGTGTTGAGAAGTGGCTGAGGCACTGTTATTTATCTGACTTTATTAACCTTTATTAACCTCAGGAATGGGCAAGACAGTGCACGAGACGAGATGCCTACAATTACTACATATTAAGAGCACATTTATATACACACATATACACATATATATATATATGAAGAGTTCAGATGCAAAAGCCTCTAAATGCCATTTGAAATTTTCTTCTTTAATGATTTAATGATCACTTAAATAACAATTAATAGGTAATCATTGCCATTTAAGTGAAATAACTGAACTTAAATATACAAGCTTGATAAAAATCATCATTTTAGAAGAAAAATTCAAATGGCACTTAGAGGCTTTTGGATCTGAACTCTTCATATATATATATATATATATAGATGACCAAATCAAAATGAATTTTCAAATGACACTTACTGTACAGCTTCAAATAGGTTTATCAATTTAAGTAGTCTATGTAATAAACGAATACGTTTTGATTATCAGATGTCTTTGGTTTTGTGTGTTTTGATGTATTTAGGTCTATCGTATGATTTTACATTTGAAAGTAAATTACAATATTTATGTGTTAAATCATAACCTGCAGGATATCCCAAATGAGTGATCGTCAGTGAAGTCCACTTCTTCTGATGTACCTTGTTCAGTGTGTGTGTGTGTGTGTAGGGAGCAGTGAACACTGCGTAGGGACCCTGTCGAGTGGATCATACAGTATTGCCTTCGCAGAAGCATGATGGGATATTTCCCCTCACTGCTGATTTGTTTGAGAGCTCCCCATTAATTTCACACTGATGTGTAAATTAAGAGTCTTGTTTGGGATCGGGACAGTGTGTGCGGGACAGATTATCCTTTTTCCCAAATACAGCGACATTCACAATGACACGCACAACTATTAAATTAAAGAACATTTTACTTAAAATACACAACATACAGACATACAGATAAAAGTGCTAGAGATTTTAATCAGGCGCAGCACAGACGTCACGGCTGGAGTTTGGCCCTCAGTCTCTCCAGCGTCTTCTGTAAGAGAGAGAGGGGTGCGTCACAAACCTCATCGTGTCCACATCTGCACAGCAGCGAATATTCAGATCATCATTTACTCCAAAAGCAAAGAAATGAAAAGATAACGGGTGTGTGAAAGCTAAAGCGGTCCTCTCAGGCGGAGCAGCTCCCTTTAGATCTCAAGGAGAGCCACGTTTCCAGCATTCGTGAGTTCAGTCCCGTGACCCAGATCCTGCTCCTCATCCTCATGTGTGTGTGTGTGTGTGTGTGTGATGCGGCTCACCCTTTGGAACTCTCTGGCTTTCTCCCGGTTCCTGGCGTACGCTTCCTGACGGCTCCGGGACTCCTTCTGCTGCTTGACTTCCTCCAACTGACTGTACAATCTGAAACGCAACCGCAAGTTCAGACACACACACCACACTTATGTGGAGCGGATTCATTCATCGCCACATGCGAGTACACATTCTGCCACTTTCTTTCAGACAGACCGCAGGAAGTGTTTATCATGAGAACTGGTTTAAATACAAGCTCCACAGGGTTGTGTCTAGTTCACACTTCTATTTCCAGTATGGACCATTTTGCAAGATGTCAACAACACTGGTCCAGAAGCACTTCCTGTTTCAGTTTGTAACTGTTTTCTTTATTTCACATCTTAAAGATGTTTGTTTTAACTATTTGATTCAGTTTTAAATGTTCTGTTGGTTGTATTTTATCCCAGCTTTTATGTAGTGTTAAAAAACTGAAACAGGAAGTGCTTCTGGACCAGTGTTGTTGACATCTTGCAAAATGGTCTATATATACACACCAATGAGCTACAACTGAAGAGTGTTTGTGTGCTTATTTCATTTCTGCAGTACACTTGAATGCTTACGCTAGACTAGGGATGGGACAATAACTGGTTTCACTATAAACCGTGATAAAATGTACTGACAGTTAGTATTATCGTTTAAAATTTAATTATCATTAAAACCGTGATTGATTATCGCGATTTTAATAACTCTCTGAATCCTGTCGGCCTGTCTGACGCAGGCACGCTGCACGCAATATTTTTTTAAATTACTCTTCGAGAAGGAATGGTGGAAGGCAGTGACCGTGCTCAGGAGGTTTTTCAGCCTTTTAAAAGGACCAAATCTGAGGTGTGGTCATATTTTGGGTTTTACAAAAGTCCTGAGGGAAACTTGATCGAGGATGGTCACCTTGTCTGCCGAACAAAAAGTCACTGCAATAGAAACACTTCAAATCTGCCGAGTCGTCTTGTGTGATCATCACCCGAACGCAAGGCAAGTTAACTTTGACCTCAATACCAAAACTACGTCTGGGAAACAATTGGGCACGAAATGTTGTTTTGAGTTGAAACGTTTTATGTCACTCACTTGAAATAGACGTGAAGCTTCCGCGAAGAAAAGTTCGTAGCAAGTGGATTTGAGCCAAAGACGAACGAACTACTTCAAACAAGACTATTATTAAGAGTGATATTTTAAGGGATAGTAAAGTATAGATACATCACGTATTAAACCGATTTTATTTTTACCACATAATTACGGGGACATATTGAATTGATAATGAGATTAGCTAATGTTTTAAATCTTACCGGTTTATGAATTCATTTTGTAAAACAATCGTCCAGACGAGATATATCACACCAATATTATCAAACTATGTAAACAATAAATCAACTCTGATTTCATTATTTACAATACAATCAAAAACCGGAGACGCAAGACGGCAAGTTGTATTTGAATGAAACAAGAGCGCGCGTCCGTTGTGATATGGATGTGCGCTGTGTAATAATGCGTTGCTATTGACGACGGGCATTAAAAAGAAGCAAATGCCATAGAATAGAATCTTGCTTAAAAAACTGCAGAGAGAGACTTCTTTTATTTGTTGCTTGTTGATTTTCAATTATAAAACTTGTTGAAATGTTTTCAGTGTGAGCATCAGTTCTTTTTGAGCACTTTCATACATTTTTAACAAAACCGTGATAATATTGATAATCACGATAATTTTGGACACTATAATCGTGATATGAAATTTTCATACCGTCCGATCCCTACGCTAGACCTATCTGAGAAAAATACAGCGTTGCTTAAATCGCCTCAAATTGCTACAAATTAGTGTTCGTGAGATGCCCATCGCCCCATTGGCTCTGTACTGAACTAGCGGCTGCAGGAACATGTGTGTTAGCGTAGAGCAGATGTGCTTCGGTGAGCCGTACCTCTGTGTGCGCCGGTGCATCTCTGCCTCCTCCACGCGTCTCTGAGCGGCGGTGCAGATCCTGACCTCAGCGACACTCTTCAGTGTGTGTTGAGGCGTGCCCGCTTCGTCAGCGTGTGCTGCGGTGGACGCGCGCCGCTCGAGGCGTCTGGCTCGGATCTGAGCGACTCGGAGCGCTGACCTGTGAGCCAGACCGTCCCGCCGCTGCCGCCGAGCAGGAGCGCTCTGAAACTCCAGCAGCATCACTGCAACACACACACATACGATGCTAACACGGCACGCTAGCAATAGACACAATCCAATTTCTAATTGTGATAACGAATGCCACGATCACGGAATTGTTCAAAGCCACGATTACAAAAAAAAGATCCACTTCCAGTAGGCGAATCACGACTCCTTCAGAGAATCAAGTGCATTATAATCGGCCTAGAATCCCTGAAGTAGTGTGTGGCGGGACGTGCAGCTTGACGACTATGGGGAAGTGTGTGTCCCATGGCCAAACGAGCTGAGAACCACTGGTATAAAGCTATTCAAAACATCAATGTAAATTGTGAGAATCTTAATTAATAAAAATGCAATTACAATTTCCAGGGAATAATCAACAATTTAGATTGATGAAGAGTCTGAAAGTTCACCAACCAGCATGAGGGAACGACGGCTCTGGCTCCTCTGATTGGCTGTCGTCCTCCACCGGACGGCTCTGCGCTTGGCCCTGCGAGAGACAGGATCTGTAAGGTCTGAATCTTAAAGTCGTCGTTCACTTTAAAAATGAAAATTGCCGCATGATTTACTCAGCCTCGGGTCATCCTAGGTGTATATGTGTCTTCTCTTAGACGAACACAGACTTATATTAATGAACACCCTGATACTCTGAGTTTTACGTAGGAAGTAGCGCAGTGCGTCATGGTGTAGCGTAAATATCAGCAGTACGTAGCATTACTCGCGTTTTACAGTCGAATCCATCCGATGTTCACTGGCCAGAAGCTAGTTATTTTCCTTTTAAAAATTCGATGTATATTTTTCTTAAACTCATATTCTTGCTTCAAAAGGCCTTTATTAACCCTTCACAGCCGTGTGGAGCACTTGTGATGGACTCGTGCACTTTCATGATGGACTCGTGCACTTTCGCGATGGACTCGTGCGCTTTCACGATGGACTCGTGCGCTTTCATGATGGATTCGTGCACTTTCATGATGGATTCGTGCGCTTTCACGATGGACTCGTGCGCTTTCATGATGGATTCGTGCGCTTTCATGATGGATTCGTGCGCTTTCATGATGGACTCGTGCACCTTCGCGAAGGACTCGTGCGCTTTCATGACGGACTCGTGCGCTTTCATGATGGACTCGTGCGCTTTCGCGATGGACTCGTGCGCTTTCATGATGGATTCGTGCGCTTTCATGATGGACTCGTGCGCTTTCATGATGGATTCGTGCGCTTTCATGATGGACTCGTGCGCTTTCATGATGGATTCGTGCGCTTTCACGATGGATTCGTGCGCTTTCACGATGGATTCGTGCGCTTTCATGATGGACTCGTGCACCTTCGCGAAGGACTCGTGCGCTTTCATGACGGACTCGTGCGCTTTCATGATGGATTCGTGCGCTTTCATGATGGATTCGTGCGCTTTCATGATGGATTCGTGCGCTTTCATGATGGATTCGTGCGCTTTCATGATGGATTCGTGCACTTTCACGATGGATTCGTGCGCTTTCACGACGGACTCGTGCGCTTTCATGATGGACTCGTGCGCTTTCGCGATGGACTCGTGCGCTTTCATGATGGACTCGTGCACCTTCGCGAAGGACTCGTGCGCTTTCATGACGGACTCGTGCGCTTTCATGATGGACTCGTGCGCTTTCGCGATGGACTCGTGCGCTTTCATGATGGATTCGTGCGCTTTCATGATGGACTCGTGCGCTTTCATGATGATTCGTGCGCTTTCATGATGGATTCGTGCACTTTCATGATGGATTCGTGCGCTTTCACGATGGATTCGTGCGCTTTCATGATGGATTCGTGCGCTTTCATGATGGACTCGTGCACCTTCGAAGGACTCGTGCGCTTTCGCGAAGGACTCGTGCGCTTTCACGACGGACTCGTGCACCTTCGCGAAGGACTCGTGCGCTTTCATGATGGACTCGTGCGCTTTCATGATGGACTCGTGCGCTTTCACGATGGACTCGTGCGCTTTCATGATGGATTCGTGCGCTTTCATGATGGACTCGTGCGCTTTCATGATGGATTCGTGCACTTTCATGATGGATTCGTGCGCTTTCACGATGGACTCGTGCGCTTTCATGATGGATTCGTGCGCTTTCATGATGGATTCGTGCGCTTTCATGATGGACTCGTGCACCTTCGCGAAGGACTCGTGCGCTTTCATGACGGACTCGTGCGCTTTCATGATGGACTCGTGCGCTTTCGCGATGGACTCGTGCGCTTTCATGATGGATTCGTGCGCTTTCATGATGGACTCGTGCGCTTTCACGATGGACTCGTGCGCTTTCATGATGGATTCGTGCGCTTTCATGATGGATTCGTGCGCTTTCATGATGGACTCGTGCACCTTCGCGAAGGACTCGTGCGCTTTCATGACGGACTCGTGCGCTTTCATGATGGACTCGTGCGCTTTCGCGATGGACTCGTGCGCTTTCATGATGGATTCGTGCGCTTTCATGATGGACTCGTGCGCTTTCATGATGATTCGTGCGCTTTCATGATGGATTCGTGCACTTTCATGATGGATTCGTGCGCTTTCACGATGGATTCGTGCGCTTTCACGATGGATTCGTGCGCTTTCACGATGGATTCGTGCGCTTTCACGATGGATTCGTGCGCTTTCATGATGGACTCGTGCGCTTTCATGATGGACTCGTGCGCTTTCGCGATGGACTCGTGCGCTTTCATGATGGATTCGTGCGCTTTCATGATGGACTCGTGCGCTTTCATGATGGATTCGTGCACTTTCATGATGGATTCGTGCGCTTTCACGATGGACTCGTGCGCTTTCGCGATGGACTCGTGCGCTTTCATGATGGATTCGTGCGCTTTCATGATGGACTCGTGCGCTTTCACGATGGACTCGTGCGCTTTCGCGATGGACTCGTGCGCTTTCATGATGGATTCGTGCGCTTTCATGATGGACTCGTGCGCTTTCACGATGGACTCGTGCGCTTTCATGATGGATTCGTGCGCTTTCATGATGGATTCGTGCGCTTTCATGATGGACTCGTGCACCTTCGCGAAGGACTCGTGCGCTTTCATGATGGATTCGTGCGCTTTCATGATGGACTCGTGCACCTTCGCGAAGGACTCGTGCGCTTTCATGACGGACTCGTGCGCTTTCATGATGGACTCGTGCGCTTTCGCGATGGACTCGTGCGCTTTCATGATGGATTCGTGCGCTTTCATGATGGACTCGTGCGCTTTCACGATGGACTCGTGCGCTTTCATGATGGATTCGTGCGCTTTCATGATGGATTCGTGCGCTTTCATGATGGACTCGTGCACCTTCGCGAAGGACTCGTGCGCTTTCATGACGGACTCGTGCGCTTTCATGATGGACTCGTGCGCTTTCGCGATGGACTCGTGCGCTTTCATGATGGATTCGTGCGCTTTCATGATGGACTCGTGCGCTTTCATGATGATTCGTGCGCTTTCATGATGGATTCGTGCACTTTCATGATGGATTCGTGCGCTTTCACGATGGATTCGTGCGCTTTCACGATGGATTCGTGCGCTTTCATGATGGACTCGTGCACCTTCGCGAAGGACTCGTGCGCTTTCCTGACGGACTCGTGCGCTTTCATGATGGATTCGTGCGCTTTCATGATGGATTCGTGCGCTTTCATGATGGATTCGTGCGCTTTCATGATGGATTCGTGCGCTTTCATGATGGACTCGTGCACCTTCGCGAAGGACTCGTGCGCTTTCATGACGGACTCGTGCGCTTTCATGATGGACTCGTGCGCTTTCGCGATGGACTCGTGCGCTTTCATGATGGATTCGTGCGCTTTCATGATGGACTCGTGCGCTTTCATGATGATTCGTGCGCTTTCATGATGGATTCGTGCACTTTCATGATGGATTCGTGCGCTTTCACGATGGATTCGTGCGCTTTCATGATGGATTCGTGCGCTTTCATGATGGACTCGTGCACCTTCGAAGGACTCGTGCGCTTTCGCGAAGGACTCGTGCGCTTTCACGACGGACTCGTGCACCTTCGCGAAGGACTCGTGCGCTTTCATGATGGACTCGTGCGCTTTCATGATGGACTCGTGCGCTTTCGCGATGGACTCGTGCGCTTTCATGATGGATTCGTGCGCTTTCATGATGGACTCGTGGGCTTTCGCGATGGACTCGTGCGCTTTCATGACGGACTCGTGCGCTTTCATGATGATTCGTGCGCTTTCATGATGGATTCGTGCGCTTTCGCGATGGACTCGTGCGCTTTCGCGATGGACTAGTGCGCTTTCATGATGGATTCGTGCGCTTTCATGATGGACTCGTGCGCTTTCGCGATGGACTCGTGCGCTTTCGCGAAGGACTCGTGCGCTTTCGCGACGGACTCGTGCGCTTTCATGATGGATTCGTGCACTTTCATGATGGATTCGTGCGCTTTCATGATGGACTCGTGCACCGTCGAGAAGGACTCGTGCGCTTTCATGATGGACTCGTGCACCGTCAAGAAGGACTCGTGCGCTTTTATGATGGATTCGTGCGCTTTCATAATGGATTCGTGCACTTTCATGATGGACTCGTGCACCTTCGAAGGACTCGTGCGCTTTCGCGAAGGACTCGTGCGCTTTCACGACGGACTCGTGCACTTTCATGATGGACTCGTGCGCTTTCGCGAAGGAATCGTGCGCTTTCACGACGGACTCGTGCGCTTTCATGATGGATTCGTGCGCTTTCATGATGGATTCGTGCGCTTTCATGATGGACTCGTGCACTTTCATGATGGATTCGTGCACTTTCATGATGGATTCGTGCGCTTTCACGACGGACTCGTGCACTTTCATGATTCGTGCACTTTCATGGACTTCAAACAGATGGTCGTCATGCACTACCATTATAAAGCTCAGAAGAGCCAAGACGTTTTTTAATATAACTGTGTTCGTCTGAAAGAAGACCGTCATATACACCTAGGATGACTTGAGGGCGAGTAGATCATGGGCTAATTTTCATTTTAAAGCGAAAGGTTCCTTTAAGAAGTGCTGCATGATGCACACACATCTGCACGCTCACCTCCCTGCAGTCAGATGTGCCCTCCTGTGGCTCACTCCCCAAGTCTTCACTGAGGTCCTGTAGGGTGGACTCTGGCAGGCTGATGAAGGAGATGGTGGACTCCTCCAGGATGCCCTTCACGTCACCCGCCGCCTGGCAGGAGCAAGACAGGATTACAGACGCGGTATCTGAGTGTCCTACATGAGCGTGGTGTGTGTGACGCTCATGCACGGCCTACTCTAGTCACACCAGCATGAGCCGCCTCAGGTTTAGCATTGTTGCGCTGCAGTTGGACACTATTAAAGGGACCGTTCACCCAAAAATGTTTACAGTCTTTTTAACCACGTATATTAAATGAGCCCAGGGTGTCGAGTTACAATCAAGCTATTTTAAAGGCATGAAGAATGTTTTTCAAAGAAAACATTTTAAATGTAATTTTTGTGATCAGAGATGATTTATACGGGATACAATTATTGACCACTGGGGGCTTCAAACGCTTATGTACTGCAGGTGTGTGCTTTTCTCTCTCTGAACTCAAAGAATCGAGCACAAAGCTATATATGGTTTCGTAGACTCTACCTGTGCTCTCTCCAGGAGCTCGCTCAGCGTGTTTTCCTCCACAGCTGACATCACTTCCTGCGAGGGTAACTGGGCTGCGGGTGCAAGGATTTCTTTCTGTAGACGGGTCTGGAGAGGGGAGCGTGGCACGAGGCTAGCGTCCATGTCATGGTTCTCACAGAGGGACTCGTGGGAAAGAGAGAGCTGCTCCACGGACATCTGCAGGTCCGCTCGAGGCGGAGTCAGTGCGTCTGCGCGCAGGAGCTGCAGGGACTGGTCTGTCGAGTTCAGCCAATCAGAGGCCTCGTCCACGCTTGCATCCGTGCCACACTTCTCTGCTTCCAGCGGGACACAGAGAGCCGTCGAACAGTCCACGCTCTCGTTGTTTGTGACATCAGAGGGCAGAGGAAGAAACAGATCCGAGGCGTCATCTACGGCACAGAAAATAACGAACATCAGGAACAAGAAATGGCTGAGAGAGAACGTGTCGGTCTTTGCTTTTTGCACAAGTGATTAAAATAATGCGCCCAAATGAAGTTCAAGATCTCAATTAGCACAAAATATAATGTTCATTTGAATTAATGAAAATCAACACTCCAATAAAAACTTTTTCCTAAAAACAGTTCAATTGCACAGAAGGCAGTTTTTATCTCAACTTAATGACTGTGGAGCAGAAAAATTATATAATATAAACATTTTTAATGGTGAAATTTGTATGTTTGAATAAATCCTGATAAATCTGCTTTTAATGACTATGGCCCAGTCGCACTGACACCTATTGTTATGAAATGCTTTGAACGGATAGTCCTGCAACACATCAAACATATTATTCCCCCCTCTCTGGACCCTTTCCAGTTCGCATATCGGGCCAACCGATCCGTCGATGAAGCAGTTGCTGTTCTTCATTCAGCTCTCTCTCTCTTGGAAACAAAGAACTCTTATGTGCGAATGCTTTTTATAGATTTTAGTTTGGCTTTTAATACCATCATTCCACAGCAATTTTTGACCTATTGTCATAATAGCAAATGGATATGCATACATTCACGCACACACATAAGCATGCATACATTCATGCACATACAGTACTGTGCAGAAGTCTTAGGCACACTAGTATTTTCGCCTCAAAGAAATGGTTTTAAGCCAGTTATTTATATATTTTGTTGTAGTGTCTCAGTAGGAAATATCAGTTTACATTTCCAGACATTAATTGTGCCATTAATTGTAATAATCCAGTGAAATTTTTGATTGCACAAGGATTCTGACAGCAGCCAATGCTCCACACGGAGGTCTGATCTCAACATCATCGAGTGCATCTGAAATTATATGAGGAAACAGAAAAAACTGAGACTAAGACCAGAAGAACTGCGGCAACGTCTCGAAGGTAGTGCCTGGCTGCCTGCAAAGCTACAGTACTGTGAAAAATCACTTGTGTAAAAATGCTGTAAATGAGAATGTTTTCAAAAATAATGTCATAAGCATAAATAGATTTTATTTATCAATTCACTTTGAGTTAAAGGGTTAGTTCACCCAAAAATGAAAATTCTGTCAGTATTTCCTCACCCTCATGTTGTTCCAACCCCGTAAGACCTTCGTTCATCTTCGAAACACAAATTAAGATATTAAGATCACTCCTGTATACTAGTCCATAGGCTTCTTGAGGGAATGACTCTTGCTGTCCTCGAAAAGTCATTAAAGACATCGTTAAAATAGTCCAAGTGACTACAGGGGCTCAATCTTAAGTTTATCAAACGACGAGAACACTTTTGTGCGCAAAAACACAACAAAAATAACGACTTTATTTCAACTATTCGTTTATTTCTCCCTCTGCGCGAGTCAGGTTACTAGTTTAATAGCGTAAGCTTCTGTTATTGTACGTCACACGCATCACACACACATGACCAGCGTCGGCCAATAGTGAGCCTACGTGTGACGTAGCTCTACGCAATCACACTACGTTAACTGACTACAGGCTCATGGAGAAGGAAGTGAATAGTTGAAATAAAGTCGTTATTTTTGTTTTTTTGCGCACAAAAGTGTTTTCGTCGTTTGATAAAGTTAAGATTGAGCCCCTGTAGTCACTTGGACTATTTTAACGATGTCTTTAATGACTTTTCGAGGACAGCAAGAGCCAGTCCCTCAAGAAGCCTATGGACTGTATGCAGGAGCGATCTTAATATCTTAAATATCTTAATTTGTGTTCCGAAGATGAACGAAGGTCTTACGGGGTTGGAACAACATGAGAGTGAGTAAATACTGACAGTTAGTGAGTAAATATTTTAACAGTTAACTAAATCAAATCAATGGGTGTTTAGTACCCTTTACGTTTAAAACAGCTTTTGTCCAGGTATTGCACATAGTTTTTAGTTTTGCGTCTTTGGAAACGTTGCCGCAGTTCTTCTGGTCTTAGTCTCTGTTTTTTTCTGTTTCTTCATATAATTTCAGATGCACTCGATGATGGTGAGATCAGACCTCCGTGTGGAGCATTTGCTGCTGTCAGAATCCTTGTGCATTCAAAAATTTCACTGGATTGTCTGGAAAAGTGAACTGATATTTCCTACTGAGACACTACAACAAAATATTTAAATAATAATAACTGGCTTAACCATTTCTTTGAGGCGAAAATACTAGTGTGCACTAGGGCTGTGAATCTTTGGGTAGACAGCGAATCGATTCGATTCACGATTCATAGGTTTTCGATTCGATTCATGAACGATTTGTGCAAATTCAGAACAATTCGATGCGATTCACATCCAAATTCGATGCGATTCGATTAATTCGATTCTTAATTTTTTATATGCATTATAGTATTATTTCAATGCTTCACCCATCTTTGTCTGGGTTTGAATTAGCCTACAGCGGCCTTCGGGGATCAGATAGTGGGGATTTTGTCCATTGTTAATGTTAGTTCATGTTTGTTTTTAATTTTAATGAATATATTATTATAAAAAAAAATTCAATGGCCTACAAATTAGCATTTGCAAGTAGCAAATATTTTGAAAAAGGCTTGCATTAAATGACTACATGCACACATTAATGGAGACGTTTTCATTAGTTTCATTTTGCGTCCTCTCAGTGCACTCGTTATCATCTTTTCACTGGATTTTGCTCGCGCTCGGTCCCATAGCTCTCATGCTTTCATAACGTTAACTACAGATTTTTGAGCAGTCCATGTTTGAGCTCTCTGTCGAGAAAGCAATAGTTTTGAGGCAAACCGCTCAAGCCATTGATAAAGCTGCCATGCCATTGCGTGGGCACTATGAAATAAAACTCTTTCATTAATTTATTACATGGACTCTCCGTACACGCAAGGTGGTCTCTCGCTCGCTTTCCCTCTCTGCCGAGTGCGTGCAGCCGTGTGTGAACGCGCGATACGCGGTTTGGAGCACAACCTCAGTCTCGTATGCACGCTCGCTCTAGATTCCGGGAGATTTTAACTAATTTGCGGTAATACAAGCTGATCACGACACGAGTAGCTCAACAGGTAGAAAGATAAACTCATCTTTCAGGCATTTGACCGACCGGGCTTCAGCGTGAGAAATCAGGGGTGTGTGAGCGCCTGAAACCAATCAAATGCGATGTCGTATGACGGCCAATGCGTGAGGCAGCTTGTACCAGGAACACTTTAAGGTTGTGTTTATATATTTTAAACCACTGAATCGCTATAAAATCGTGATTAATTCGATTCTTAGCCTTTTAAATCGATTATTCATGTAAATAAACGATTCACGATTCAAAATACATGACCCCGTTTACACCTGGTATTAAAATGCGATCTGTATCCAGATAAGTTATCCGGATAATAAAAAACGCATGTTAATGCAAGGTGTAAATGCGTTGTGATCGGATCGTGATCGGATCTGCCTGACCACATCTGGAGGTAGTCTGGCTCGCATTGTGTCCGGATCTTTACTAGGTGTAAACGCAATCTGGTTGTTGAAACCACATATGTATATTTTACTCCTCCCAAAAATGCTAAAAAATAAACGAGTGAGAGCGTGTTATATAGGCTATATGTCATGTTATAGCCTAGTCAGATGCGACACGCGACACGCATCACCGCAGATGAGTAGCTGAGCGTCTATTCAACGTGCAAACATCGCAAATAAAAGTGAAAATAAGTCACAGACGCAGTTAACACATCTTCAAGTAAAGAAACGAAATTATCTTACCAGGCCTGTTGCCACTCTCTCTTATTGATGTCTCTGATTTGGAAATTAGCTGATGATCAATAAAATGCCGCTCAGATCTGTTGCTTTTGGTGGCGTGCAATCCATTAAAAATGCATATAACGCAGGAGGTGAAGATCGGATTTATATCCGTTTTGCAAAAACACATTTATGTGGCCAGGTGTAAATGGAATCAGTACTTATTATCCGGATAACTTATCTGGATACAGATCGCATTTTAATACCAGGTGTAAACGGGGTCCATGTTTCAGGATCGATGCATATGCATCGCCAGGATTTATAATCGATGCATCGAGAAAACGAGTGAATCGGTACACCCCTAGTGTGCACAGTTCCGTACATATATATATATACACACATTCAAACATTTTGCTGTTTTTATACTTGTAATTTATTGAAACAATATGTGCTGAATGTTTGTATTGTGATTTTATATATAATTTTTTATTGTATAGTGTTGTGTTGGGGATTTTTTTTTAACACCATGAGTCTGAGGGAAACGAAATTTCAATCTTCTTTATGTTCTGTACATGGAGCAAGAATCGACAAATAAAAAACTGAACTGAACTGATCTATTTTAAGAACAGGTTAAGTTAAACTAATGAATACGTAATACGATGTGCGCATATACACTGTTTATCAAATTACACCTTATTGTAAAGTGTCACCAACAAAACTCAGTTAACATTAGCATTCGCTGAGCAACAGTCATCAATACTGTAACCAGCTGACACTCCCTTCACCAGAACTTGGCAGGCATCGGCTACAGGAACGCTGCCAGCTTGTATTTTACTAAATAATCCGACCTTGGTGTCATTTTTGACGAGTGTGAACCCACCCTACAAAAAGTGTTTTTGTTCTTTGAGTTACCGCGTGGGGCGTCAGTAGAAGCGTTCCTGTCCTCGTCTGAGTGCAGTGAGGCCGGTGACATCAGTGACCCGACATCAGCGGGCCGGTCCGGACCGGAGCTGCTCACCACTGCGGCTGAAGCAACACACACACACACACAGTCAGAGCAATGAACCACCCCGGCAGAGACGCCACCAAAGCCTCACATCGTTACCTGCGCAGGCGCTGCTCTGATCAAACACCTGAGACGAACCCATGTCTGACGCGGTGCCGATCAACTGGCTCACGGCGGACTGAAGGAGCTCAGAGTCTGAAGCCCTGTCCCGCTCCGAAGACGCCTCAGACGGGGGTTCACCGGGTCGGATGGACAGCTGATCAGACAGGCGCTCAAGGATCCGGGTCACGGCCTCGCTCCAGCCCTGAAGTGATCACGCCAAGACATTAGCAAGGCAACAGGGTGAGGAGACTGCGAATGAGAAACATGCATATGTGTGGCACCTGGCGGCTCTGATCGGCTCTCACTGCATTTCTAGATGAAGAAGAGGAAGATGATGAGGTGTCAACGTCTGGATGGGGATGAAGCGGCAGGAAAGCACCTGAAAACAAAACAACCGTATCAGAATAAGACGCTTTTAAAAAATAAAAACAAAAACGCATTGACATTTTTTTATTTCAATGCAGTTCAGAATATGGATGATTGTAAATGCCGTTATGCAGCAGTTAGTGAACCGTGATAATGACTCGACGAGTCTACGACGAGCCGGCTCGCTCTGATTTACCGGAGGACTTTTCTTGGTAAACTATATTTGGTATAAACAACAACAAAACTGGCATTTTGCCATAATTGTGTGAGTATCCTCATAATAGCAGTCTTAAAGCTACACTGTGTAACTCTTTTAGTTTATTCTTAGCTTAAAAACTAGGGCTGTCAGTTTAACGCGTTATTAACGGCGTTAACGCAAACCCATTTTAACGGCGTTAATTTTTTTTATCGCGCGATTAACGGACTTTTTGTCCTAGCAAACTTTGTAGTTTTTTCACAAGCTTTTGCAACTTTTGATCCATTTCGGCGTCTCGCGCTCGTCATCCACTCAAAGCCGGCTCGCAAGCCGAAACGTGTGTGTGCGCGGCACGCCTGTTTTGTTTACGGTCTAGATCCAAGCCATTGAAATGAATGGGTTTCAGATCGCAGCGCGAGGACGTTTTGTTCCGCACACACTCGTTTCGGCTTGCGAGGTAACGTTTTGAGTGCATGACGAGCGCGAGACGCCGAAATGGATGCCCTAAGATACTGAATGGACAGTTTACTTTTAAAAAGTTGCCAAATTGTCCCATTAACAAGACCAAGTGATCTGTGTGTTTTGTCGTTGTGAACTGAGCTATCATCATCGCAGCACGTCCAGTCTGAAACACCACTTGATGATGGCCAAGCACACACACACACACACAGATGATGCGAATTCTCCACCCCCTCGCCAATATCAGGACCTCGTTAGTATTTCTTTCACCCTTTTATTGATACAGTGTTGCATTGTGTGAGAGATTATTTGTATACGTGTGAAATTGAGCACTATTCCAATGTTATTTTCAATAATAATAATAAAAAAACCATTTGCACTAAACAAGCCAATGCACTTTTCCATGTTGATAAGAGCATTAAAATGAGAAAAAATAATGTAATAAAAATAAATCAAAAGACCTTTAGAATAGATAAAAATGTGCGAATAATCGCGAGTTAACTATGACATTAATGCGATTAAATGTTTTAATTGTTTGACAGCAGCACTACTAAAAACACTTAGTTCTTTCAAAATATATGTGCTCATTAGTCTACATTTACTTTGTTCAAGTAATAAAGTATTCTCGTGAGTGTATAATATGCCATTGAAAACACATACGGGTGAGGGGTTCTGATGTCGGTCGCCATGTTGCCCCTCCATCTTGAATGTACATTAGCCAAAGAGGGACATACCCGTTAATTCAAGCTTAGCCTTTCGCGTTTACGTTTGCGTTAACACTCATGGACGAGGTCGAACTGGAAGCCATGTTAATCTTGGACTACATTGGCCACCGTAGGAGTTAAAACGAAAACGGAATTGAGAGGAACAGAAACTAATATTCACTGGATGGTCATATACCTTTTCACCACTAGATGGGGGTATATAAAAAAAAACACAGAGTAGCTTTATTGAAACGCAAGAGTTGTGAGGAAGTGATCCAATCAAATCAAAAGAACAAAGAGAGTTACTCACTGCTCTTGATTAAAGAACTTTTAGCTTTAAAATCAACAATAAATTAAATATACAGAAATCAAATAAAGCAACCCAACACTTTATTAACAGATTTTACATTAAATACTAAGTGTGCTGCAACTGTAAGTCACTCTATGAGTTAAATGTTATTTGCAAATCTGAACCGGCCCTCTTTTGTAAGTGTAAAACTAATTAAGCGGACTGTCACTCCTCAAACTTTGCTGTGTGTGTGTGTGTGTGTGGCTGTTGGTTGATTGCGTCCAGAAAGCGCTCTTTATATTCAGTGGAGCGGTCAAGCACTTAATTTCAGCATGAGCTCACAAACACACGGCACAATGGGCCTCTTGTTCACATGGGCTCGCTCAGCTGGCTAACGAGGATTGGTGAATGTCGGCCATTTGCAGTGGGTTTGTTCTGTTCATGTGATATTTGATGGCGTGCCACTTTTCCCCCAGTAGGTGATTGCGTCAGCTGTAATTGTGAGTAAAAGGAAGTGATTGTGAGTGTACGGCACCTGGAGCTGAGACGTGAGCGTCTCCGTCGCGAAGCGCACTGGACCAGGACTGACCCGCTGGACTGCCGTCCGCCGCTCCTGCACAGAGAACACGTGAGCGCGTGCGTTCTGCACACACACACACACCTCATGCTACGTGTTTACCTGCGCGTGTCAGTGAAGCGTTGAGCTCTTGGCTGTATCTGTCGATGATGCGCTGCACAGAGCGGCTCGTGTCAGCGGTGGGATCAGGATCCACACTGAGACCAGAATCCTCTGAGAAACACAACAGAGATCTGTTCACAGGACGATGCTCACTAGGGATGGGCACGAGCACTGGAGCGCACCAGTGACGAGATATAGACATATCTCTAGTAGCGGTCCAGCAAACACTGACCATGAAAACTGATTATATATAGGAAGACTTAGAACGGTAGAGTAAATTGTTACACAAAGATTTCTAGATGAAATAAATGCTGTTTGTTTTATTCTATCTTTACTTTTGGTAGAAAAACTTTAAATTGTATTTAAAAGCATAAAACGTGATGTTTCCAAACTTTATACACCATTTCTCTCATTGGTTATGGAACAACTTACATTTGCACAAAACAAAAGGCTGCGTAAGCCACACACACTTAGTCATGGATAGGGTTGGGTATCGAGAACCGGTTCCAAAATGCCAAAAACTGGGGATTTGATAAGACACGCGCATTTCGATTCCTCTTTTCAATTCCTTACTTTGATGCTCGCTCATGAAAGTGAGCATTTGTTTACTGTTGTATTGATCTGCCAGGACCTGCTTGCCGCACATCAGTGTTGTGCAAGTTACTTCCAAACTGTAATACATTAGGTATTACTTGTTACTGTTATTTAAAAGTAATTCATTACCTTACAATATTACTGTCCCAGAATTGTAATGCGTTACATTACTCATGTATTACTTTTGAGTTACTTTCACCAAAATAACTAAGTAGAACTTAACTTTGGGGCTGTAACGATATGCAATATGAAACCGAAATCGCGATTCGCCACATCCACGAACCTACAGAATCGAGACACACCTCTTCCAACTCCAGCGTTATTCTCCTTACCGTCCAGATCCAATGCTGCCTTATCTTTAAATTAGGCTATTAGTATTATTTGAAGTTAACATTATAAAATACGTAGACCTACTCCACAAAACTAGTTGAGGATAAATTATTTAAAATTGGGGAAGTCCAGCATTATGGACATGACATTTGCAGTCAAAACTTGAAATAAAAATTCTCAGAAAATACATGTATTGAAACGTATATAGGGTACTTCCTTAAAGGACTCCAGACATTAGACAAATATCAGTCTATGTTTTATTTTTAATATTAGGGAAAAGACACACATTCATGCGTGACAAAAAAATAGGAGGCAAAATATATTTTTTGTAATTCTGTTAATTACACTGCGCAAATCGGATGAGGAAGGGTTGGCTCTGCAGTCTCCATAGAACTTAAAATATTTATTTTATTTTAGTTTTCGTGTTCGTTTATGAGGAAAAAACAATGTTACAGACGTGACCGCTCTGAACTGGCACTAAAAGACTGCTTTAAAACTTTCACATAGTCTGTTGCCTTTAAGAAGTAAAAGCAGACATTACACTGTAATACAACTGTAATACAAGCCTGACTGAACATGTAACGAGTAAAATATTACTGAAAATTGATTAGTAATGCCTTACACTACTGCGTTACAGCAAAAAGTAATATGTTACTGTAATGTATTACTTTTGTAATGCGTTACTCCCAACACTGCCGCACATGCGTTGCAAGTTATACATTTACGATGGCAGAGTGCGGCAAACGTTTAAAAGTTTTGTTAAGCTTTTCAAAGGATGCACCTCCAATATGATGAAACATTTGCTTCAACACGGGGTCAAATTGAAGGAATGGACGCACCGCATTTGATTTGGTACAATCTCTCCCACAGCTTTCCACACACCATGATAAAGCTACTAGCAGCAGCAATAGCAGTCTCTCACACTCGGGTACAAAACACAGATGAGCAGACATTCGTCTTCAAACAAGAGCCGCATAATTCTGGATAAAATGAGTTCAAGTAACATTGTTTAAATCACTGTGTATATTTCAACCAAATATAATTAAAAAAATATTTTTTGCATTAGGTACAAAAAAATACTCCCTCTCAGCACCTTTTGGACAAAAATGTCCCCATTGAAACCCATTAAAACTGCCATTTTTAATCCCCGGTTCAGCTAACTATAAAATTATGCAATCTTTGTTAAGAGGCTTTCATTCTGATGGCAAGGCTTCAAAATTTTATTTTGTACTATTTTTTATCAGATGGTGCCATTTTTTTTTTTAAGTTTGGCCTATAAAACAAATATCGCTTTATTCCTGTTTTCTGGTTCGGCATACTATAGAGCCAACTGGAGAAATTATGCAACGATATTTGTGTGGGTGTGTTGGTATGGATGTCAGAGTGTGGTTAGTATGTGTGTTATAAAAAAATTTGTGTGTGTGTGTGCGCATGTGTGTGTTTGTCAGACTGAGAGAGAAAAACTGCAAATCCAATCACTGTGAGCTCCAGTGGGGTTTTGCTGACACCCAATGGGGAAAATATGTTACTACGCCCAAACAAACTGTTACCGAAAGCTCATTTTTTGAGATATCATCCTCAAATTTGGAACACAACCTATTTAGATGTAGGTCTTTGATTTTATTGCAGTTTTGAGTTCAACCTGATTTAAAAAAATATATATTTTATATAAAATATTTTTTAGAAATAATTTTCATAAACTTATGTCTATATAACTTTTTTTTTTGGATTTACTTATTATTTTTTTACTTCAGCAATAATCTGCAAAGAGTCTTCTTTAAAATGATACCAAACTTAAGTCTGTGCTCCAAAGCGTCACATTTTTATGACAGTTTTTTGACATGGACATTTGTCATATTTTAACCCTTGTGCATCAATTAAAAAAAAGTTACACATAGGTAAAAAGAGGTTTCATTCATCAATTACTGAACACATAATGGTTGATAAGTGTACCCCATTTTAGTCATTGTATTACTGACGTCATTCAAGTCAAAATAAAATAAGATTTTAGCGCCCTTGAGTATTCATTTTTTCAGACCTATGGAGAAGTCGAAACGAAAAACTGCCAGAAATGCCCATCCCTAATACACACACACACTCTGTTTGTGAACGTAACGATCAAACACACCTGGCTCATGCTCACTAGTGAAGTAGCTTCCCGTTGAGATCGTAGTGGATGAGAGATAGTCTGGATCAACAGATGATGGACAGTCAGTGCTAAACCGCTAGCAAACAGAGAATCGTTTTACACAGTGTGATTCAACACACACACACACACACCTGACCATCAGCTCATCGTCTGAGCTCAGTTCAAGTGTAGAGACCTTCATTAGCATACATGCAGAATTCACATGTACGTCAGGTACAATACATTTTCATCACTGCTCAAACACTTACACTCTCACTCACACACACTCCCACACACACACACACACACACATCAGCTTCTCTTAGCATAATCACTGGTGTGACGGCACGCTCAGATTTGGCTAGTTTTCATCATTGATCCATAAACTGTGGATCTCAGAATGAGTTAGCGGTCATCAGTGACGTCAGGTGTGTTACAGGAGCGGTTTCCTGCGGCGAGAAGGATAGTCTTACCTCCTGCTGGAGCGTCACGGGGCACGGACCTGAGGAGGAGGAGGAGACGTCGTTAGAAGGACATGATAAAGCTCAAACCACAATCTATGGCTGCATGATATTGAGAAAAAAAAACTGCAATATAAACTATTTCACCAGATGATTTACGTATAAAGCTCTGTTTGAAAACAATGAATCATTCTACAATAATCGGGGAGTGAATCTGCATAGAAAACTATAAACAAATTACAAGCATAGATAAATACAATCGAAGAAAGAATTAAAACAGGCAATGTTTTTCAGGTAAATCTAACTGTGTTCAGGTACATACAGGGAACTGCACTGCGACCAAAATGGTCGCATATGCGACCTTTTGAAATCCCATTGCGACCCTAATTTTTAATGGGTCGCAAATGTATCACTGACTATTTTGACGGGTCTGTTTTTTTTAGTTTCTTTCGGGTTTTATTCAAATTATTATTCAAATGACATGATAGTAAAAGGTTTGTGTCTTTATAATAGGCATGCTAACCATCTGAGCCTGCATGGCGGCAGGAAAAAGACGCAGAGATGTAAGACACCGTGTCTCTTCCTTACACCAAAGATTTGCGGTCTGGTGTTCGGCTGATAAACTCTGCCATGAGCTAACTAATTATATTGCTAGCGCTGATATTGACATCGACTAACGTTATATGATCACTAGCAGTTTTTTAGACTAACGTTAGTTTTTTCATAATCATAATCGCGTGATTCGCGTCAAGACACCTGATTGGCTAATACTACACACTGAAGATAAATTAAATGTTTTATTAAATAATTACTGAAAATATCCCCCACACCCCAAACATGACATACAAAATGTTGTGGAACAGAAACAACCAGAGATATATTTATAAGCTATCATTTTATTGTCATCACAGCTTTCCAACAGTCCTGCGTATGATTCTACATTGATTAAAAAAGAAAATCAAATGTGTTTTAATGGTAATTATTTTATACGGAAATCATGTATTTATAATTCAGATGAGAATAAAGTTATGGGTTAGTTAAAATTAAGGCAAACAAATATATTGATCTGAAATATTGCAAATTAATTTTACATTCATTCAAGTACAATTACCAAACATATATCAAGGTCATTTTGTCTTTTTATTAATTTAATTAATAAACTAATTATATAAAACTATTGTCAGTGCACTACAAATAAACTGGTTCTATGCCTTTATTAATAAAACTTAAACAACTTAAAAAATACAAGGCTTAAGACATTTATAAAAATGCCTTCTGCATTTTTGTTTTGCTTTTCACTCCATTGTACCGAATCGTACCGAACCGTCTGAATGTCTGAACCAAGGTATGAACCCGACCCAACCGTGACTTCTGTACCGTTCCACCCCTAATGCAGTTTCATTATTATTCATTACTATCCAGAGTGAGGCTTACTATAAATAATTTGTGCGACCAAATCATGTTTTGCGCCAGTAACTGAAAAAGTTAGTAGCGCAAGTGCCACCAGTGGAAAAGGTTAGTGTAGTTCCCTGACATAAATTGAAATTTTCTCTTTCGCTGTTTGGTCTCCACAGACACAAACAGCTGCGGGTACTAGGGCTGCAACGATTAGTCGACAACGTCGACAATAAAAAAAATTGTCGACAAATATCATTGTTGTCGAGTAGTCGTTTGATCTCACGTGACCTAAAGTAAGGGCGTGCAATATCGCGATTTGACCGCTCCGGCGCTAGAGTGTAATGCAGCCCTTTACAAATGCAAGTGCGGGTAAAAGAAAAAACAGCAAGAATTATGACGGAGTGCAAACGATATCGAACTAGCAAGGTTTGGCAAAGTTAAAACCAAAAGTGCAGTCATGTGCAATACATGCAAGGCAGATCTTGCTTTTCACGGGAGCACCACATGCATGTTGGAGCACTTAAAGAGGAAACAGCCGGGCAAAAGAGGAGCGGTGAGAACTGAGTGTTCTCCAGCTGGAGCCAACTAACTAGCGGTAAATCCCTTTATTAGATAATGCAATACTACTAATAATCGTAATAAAATCATCAATAATAATATAATTACAGTAATCTGATGATTTATTTTGCATAGAATAAAGCTTGATTGAGCTTAGGAGTCAGGGCTGTTTTTATTATTGGAACACTATTGGGTGTTATAGTCTTATTACTTGCCTGTATTTTATTCCATAATCATGAAGACTTACAAAAGGGGATGTTAGGAACAAGATCATGGCAGTTACTTTTTCTTTTTCATACGGTGAATGAGAACGTATCCGTCAGCTCAATTCTCATGTCATTTTATATCAACAATAATGGTTTGCAGATTAATATTTGACCCTTTTTGTGTCCTGAAGTAATGTCCCTTTTTCTGTTTCAGTTCTATGAAATGCAGTGGGCTTATCAAACAATGCTTAGAGAGCATTTGTGTGTGATTTGAGTTAAACTTAAGGAGAATGACCTGTTTAGTTGGCTCTAAGTTCATTAAATCAACTATTTCAAAAGCTGAACTGATTTTCTTTTTTATATTAGAGTAAGAATATGTATAACTCAATGTTTTAACTAATTGAAAAAGCTGAATAACCGTTCCAAACTTGATTAGCTAGCAAAATAATCAATGATTAGTCGATTAATCGGATTATCAAAATAATAGTTTGTTGCAGCCCTAGCGGGTACATTAGGCTGCCATCCCTTTCAGGCCGACGCACAAACCGAAAATGCAATATAGTATTATATTATTATAAGTCATCAACTCGTGTTAAACTTAAACATTACGAGTTTAAAAGCATTTGTTTAATTGAGTGTCAAACCTGTCCATCATGCACTTCTTTGCCTGTACTTGATTGGAGCCCTTGGCTATATATTTATAATTAGATATAAATTAGGGCTGTCAAGCGATTTAAGCTTTAAAAATCACATGATGTGGCGATTAAACTACATATAAAGCCACAGCAGATTGGCAAAATTCAGCAAAAACAGGATTGTGTCAGAATAGAACAACATTAACTTCTTATTTATTGAACTGTTGGACAAAACCAATATTACGCAGGACAAAAACAGCACTTGTATGAGATTGCACTCGTGTGATATTTCTAAACTATATCATGATATAAACAAAAGACAAAAACTCATGCGCCATTTTTGCCCTAATATCTTGAATTTTAGGGCTGCATTCGACAGGCTCCATCCCGAGTTGTTGCCCTGCATCATCTTCCTCAATCAACTGTGTGAAATACTTTGCTGTAATTGACAGCAAAAGAAATGTCACATGACAGACGCAGGTCTGGGCCGGGTGCGTTAATAAACAATGCGTTATATTTTTCATAACTAAATTAACCCCTTAACTGTCACCGTCTCGGTACCGGGACGCCTAACTTTACTTCACTATATTTCTATTAAATCCTAATCTAATTATGACAAATTATATATTGTTGGAAAGGTCTAAGACTTCTAAATAGCTATTCTACCTCTGTTTTGTGTTAAAAATTATGTAGGAAGAGTAATTGATGAATTTATGACAAGAGTGCACCTCAAAAAATCTGCATCATAACAGGAGTTTTGACCTTTGTCACAAAAAGTTGATGAACCCACTTTTAAATCATTGAAACTTCTGTTTTTATGCTAAAAGTTCATAATAAACATATAATCTAGTATTTTTCAATAAAAAAAAATGATAGTACAATATTATCCTCTAAAAATGATTTATATTTATTATCCTCTAAAATATAATATTATTTTTTATCGCCTTTTTTTATTGTATCACATATTTTAGTAGTTTTCATAAATTAGGTATCATTTGAACGTTTATAAACTCAGAATTCTTCGTGTGAAAACTGTTTTATAATTGAAAGTTGCGTTACCATAGAAACGGTACTTATTTTATCAAGCTCCTCCCCTTTTGGGCATCATTATATTTCATAATTTATAATCAAAACCTTTTCTAATCTTGACAAAACTGATATTGTCAGAAAGGTCAGAGTCAAGGTTCCAAATTTTGTGACAGAATTGATATTTGGACAGAAATGTATTCATTTGTTAAGGCAGAATGTATACAAATAAATTCAATGGAATTCAATGGCACCCGGTGGCTATTTTTGGTACTACGCCTAAACAAAATCTCATGGGAACTTCAATTTTTGTGATATCAACTTCAAATTTAGAACATAACTTGATAAGATGTATGGCGTGGATTTTATAGAAATTTTAGAGTAAAAAATATTTTATAAAATATATATTTTATATAAAATAAAAAATATATAGTACAGTATATTTAATTTACTGTAAATTTAAACTTCCATAACTTTTTCATACTTTCATTTTTTGAAGTGTTTTCACTTCAGCAATATTCTGCTGAGTGTTTTCTTTAAAACAAGACCAAACTTGGGTATATTCCAAAGCATTCTTAAATTACAACCATTTAAGTTTGAATAGTGCATTTTAACCCCCATTCTCAAAAAGGGGGGTGACAGCTAAGGGGTTAACCAGTATTATCAACGTGTGATATGCACTGATTACGATTTGACAGCCCTGATTTATATGTATTATATCCATGTTGTTTAATAAATGAGAACTTCGATAGCCAATGAATTAGCAACTAGTAGTAACGTCTAACTACGGGACGAGGGTTAGAAACGGTCAGATCCACACAGAGACCGCGTGAGACCGACCCCGATGTACATGTACCTGGCGAGGAAGTGGAGTCCTGCAGGAGCATGTCTCTCCAGGACATGCGGCTGGTCCTGCCCGTGACCTGTGACCTTTCGCTCAGGCTGTGGCTGCCGGCAGAGGCGAGCGCGGGCAGAGACGCACTGCTGGACGCTCTCACATCAGCAGAGGACGACCGCAGCTCTGCAGGAGCCAATCACAGCACAGATCAGACAGGATATGATGCGTGACACCTGCTGGAGCGTCAGCTGCTGGAGTACCTGTGTCCAGGCTGATGTTGAGGGGCGAGTCCACTTCCTGTATGGCGCTGAGCTCGTGCTGCTGCATCTGCCCGAGGAACGCCAGACGAGCGGGAGCTCGAGACACCGGGGGCTTCACTCTCACACGGGCCGGCTCACACACACCGTCTACAAGACACACAGCACCATTAGTGTGTGAGGGTGTGAGCAATATTAATTTCCTGAATTTAGATTGATATTTAATCGTAAATGAACCCATATTACAATTAGAACAAGAATCAATCTTTTAGACTGAGCTGTTTTCTGTTGATGCACGAATAAAACGCATTATTTTGCGCCGCCCAGTGAGGCCTGTGTTTACCGTTAGCGAGGGCCGGCGTGTCTCCGTCCCGCTGGATGGGTGCTGTCGGGGGTCTGGTGTGGCCGTTAGCCTCTTCAATGGTCTTCAACAACGTGTTCAGAGTCATGTGATCCGCCTGAGCGCCACTAGAGCTGGACACTGAAGCCTACCAGAGGAGCAGAGGTTTACTTTAATAAGAAGATACTTTACGAAGACAGTTCACTTCACGTATACAGACAGGAGCCATCTTAAAAAATAGTCTCGATAAGTCGATCCCCGAACGCCGTTCATACAGTTCAGAAGTTCGCTGAACTTCATACAGTTCAGATCACTCAGCACGACGTTCGTGGTTTGACTTATCGAGACTATTTTTTAAGATGGCTCCTGTCTGTAAACGCGAAGTGAACTGTCTTCATAAAGTATCTTCTTATTAAACGGTCTGGACACTTACAAAGTTCTCAATGCTTCGTTTTGCATGTATGGACCCTCATTATGTTACTGTGTGAGTGTGGGGCGATTTTGAGCCTTGTTAGTGGTATAAACTAGCGATTTCTTTTTACTTAGTAAATGCCCCCAGTACTAGCATTATACGCTAAACAGTTTTTAGAGATAAAACTCTTTACATTCAATTATCATGAAAACAAATCTCAGTGAACGGTTGACTAGGTACCGATGTTTTATTAGACCAAAGGTTCATTGTTCGCCGGAGTTCTCCTTTAAGAGCAGTTTTCTTTATCATTTCAAATGTATTTACTTGTGAACTCTTTGTGCTTGGTAAAAGCAAACGAGTAACCACACAAGAAATCGTTCCGGCTGTAACCCCTCTGAGATCTAGTACAGGACAGCGAGCCGCGGGTCAGGTGAGGTTCACCTGTGTGTCAGCTGTGATCAGCGCCTGCAGGGCGTCTCGCTGTCGCCTCATGTGCCGCCTCGTCTCCTCCACCCCGCTCTCGACACCAGTGATGACGTCAGCAGGATGAGGCCGGCTGCGCAGGAGCTCCAGGACCACAGCGGGAGCAGGAAGAGGAGTACGGGCGTCCAGCGATGGCTCGGAGCCGACAGGTTCGGGTGGGCGGAGCAGAGCCTGCAGTGGAAACAAATCAATATTACTCAAATTAAATTAGATTAATAAGGCAATATTGGGCTGTTACCATAGGATGATCCAATTAAACCATTTACACTGAAAAATTACAACTGCATTAAATAAATGTTATGAGATTGTTTAAAATATTTTAAACATAACATTAAATGAGCGAGTCAGTGAGTCATTCCTTCAATCGATTCGTTAAACAACTGATTCATTCAAGAGTTGTTTATCAATGGGTCATTGAATCTTTGACCGATTTGAACAAAACGCTCAACCATGGTCAACTTTTCGTGTGAGATGCATTATGGTTCTGCTCTATCTTTGATTGGAACTATTTTCACTGCTGAAAAAGAACAAAAACAGGTATTGCGTCTAAAAATGTAAGAGAGTTCATTTGATCTGTTTATTGAACTGTTGTATAAAATCAATGTCACATTTTCAATCTGATTTAAATTTCATTTTTGACGGCATGTCTCTGACAACGTGAAGCGACTGAAAGTCCTGTTGGATACGATTGATTCATCTAAACCCGACTACGAATATTTTATCTAAGGCCTCTTTTTGAGGTTTATGAAGATTTTTAAAAACATTTAATTAAAAAAAAAAAGTATGATATTAGAAACTCTATTGTTCCCTCTGAACCATGTCACTTGCAACTGCCCTGTCCTATGAGTTGTCTCTCCAACTCTGCTAGCTGACATAATCTCAACTATTACCCCTTTTCCACCAAAAAAGAACTGGTTCGGAACTGGTGCTGGTTCAAAGTTGGTTCAACTTGCGAACCCTTTCAGAACCTGTTTGTTTTTCCACTGACTAGAGCGCCCAGGGAACGACGTCGTTGTCATTGTGTACGTCGCCATACGTCTTAGCTAGAAACGCTTGCAAGAACAACATTACTTTGGGATTATCTCTAACTCGTGTACCAAGAAGGCTTAAAAACAATTGAAATATGCAAGTCTTTTAATCTTTTCCTTTGATATGTAATCTTTTCTGATTGGTTATGTACCCGTCTTGAAAACAGTTTTCCTGGCCGAGAACCGGTTCTTTGGCTGTCGAAACACAAAGAACTGGTTCGCGCGCAGGCACTGGCTCTCAAAATGCTTTGGTGGAAAAGGGGTATATGAAGGGTTTTGGTTCTAAGTTAGATATTATTCCGGCTCATCTTTTTAAGGATGTTTTTTCTACCATTAGTCATATGGTAACCGCTATCATTTACAGAACTTTAGCCAAAGGAGTCGTTCAAATTGTGCAAACCACGTTAAAAAAAATAAATAAATAAAAAACTTAACTTGATCCAGAAATGTGCAGTAACTCTAAACCGATCTCTAAACTCCCCTTTATCTCTAAGCTTTTAGAGAAAGTAGTTCTCACAGCTCCAGTTTTATTTGAATTCTTTTACTAATTTAGACATGTGTGAATCAGGCTTTAGATCATTGCACAGCACTGGGCCAGCTCTATTGAGGGTTACAAATGACGTCTTGCTCGCTCTGGATTTAGGCTCTTGTGTTGTGCTGGTTTTGTTGGACCTGAGCATGGCATTTGATATCATTGACCACTAGGGCTTCATGGGACATTTTTAAAGGGCACCATTATGGAAAATTCACTTTTACATGATGTTTGAACATAAATGTGTGTTGGCAGTGTGTGAGCAAAACCATCCTTGAATGATAAAAAAAATCCACCCAGTGGTTTTTTTACAATCTCAATAAATCATATTCACTGTCTCAGAACGAGCTGTTCTGAGATTCAGCTCTTTGTGACGTAGAAAGTGAGAAAGGGGTTTGATTGACAGTGTGGTTGTGGCCTAGACCCCGCCCTCGGTGATCTGTACACACATCCTCCATTGTTTCAACGACAGCCGGTAATGTCTCTTGGAAACATAAGTGTTCTGTCGTGGACTCGTGGGTTAATCCTGTTGTTGTGGCTTAAAAGTTAATCCTCAACTGTGGATCGTCGTCTACTGTTTGCGATCCACCGTCACATCCAGTAACAGTTAGGGCCAATCCCAATTCTACCCCTTACCCCTTCACTTTCCCCTTCCCCTCCGTTTTGCGCGTCCACGTGAAGGGGTAGGGCTGTCCCAATTCTCTTTTGGTTGGAGGGGGAGGGCTAGAGTGAAGGGCCAGATAGCCCTTCAAACGAAGATTTTTCGGGAGCACACTTCAAACGAAGGGGTATGAGAACTGTCACTGCTAACCCAGGCTACAGACGCAAAATGGCTTCCCAAGCGAAAAAGGAGACCCATAAATGTAAGTATTTGTGGCTTTAATAAGTATTGTAACGACAAATAATGATTTGCTTTATGTTACATTCAATATTGTGTTCATATTTACGGTCAGTTTCTTCACAGAAACGTTTGTAAAAAAAAAAAAAAAAAAAAAAAAAAAAAAAAAAATCGCTAAAATTACTGTAGTTTGCTAACGATAGTCCCGCAACATATTTTCGTCGTCTCCGTTGTTTCCTGCGAACTTCACAAGATAAATGCAAGAAAATAGCTGTAACCCACGCGACTGAGATAACTGCAGCTGTCGACGGCATCTTGGAAGTTGTGATAAACATCGGCGCATCTCCCGTGACGTAGGCGCTAGCGACGACTTATAATGACGTTTAACAGAGGCGTAGTGGTGTCCCATTTCTTAGGGGAATATTTTCACCCCTACGCATTGCCACTCTGTTTCAAGGGTCAAGGGGAAGGCGAAGGGTTAGGGCTAGGGGAAAGTGAAGGGGTAAGGGGTAGAATTGGGATTGGCCCTAACCCCTAGCCCTACCCCTTCGCCTTCCCCTTGACCCTTGAAACAGAGTGGCAATGCGTAGGGGTGAAAATATTCCCCTAAGAAATGGGACACCACTACGCCTCCGTTAAACGTCATTATAAGTCGTCGCTAGTGCCTACGTCACAGGAGATGCGCCGATGTTTATCACAACTTCCAAGATCCCGTCGACAGCTGCAGTTATCTCAGTCGCGTGGGTTACAGCTATTTTCTTGCATCTTGTGAAGTTCGCAGGAAACAACGGAGACGACGAAAATATGTTGCGGGACTATCGTTAGCTACAGTAATTTTAGCGATTTTTTTTACAAACGTTTCTGTGAAGAAACTGACCGTAAATATGAACACAATATTGAATGTAACATAAAGCAAATCATTATTTGTCGTTATAATACTTATTAAAGCCACAAATACTTAAATTTATGGGTCTCCTTCGCTTGGGCAGCCAGCCTGGGTTAGCAGTGACGCTTCTCATACCCCTTCGTTTGAAGTGTGCTCCCGAAAAATCTTCGTTTGAAGGGCTATCTGGCCCTTCACCCTAGCCCTCCCCCTCCAACCAAAAGAGAATTGGGACAGCCCTACCCCTTCACGTGGACGCGCAAAACGGAGGGGAAGGGGAAAGTGAAGGGGTAAGGGGTAGAATTGGGATTGGCCCTAAGTGTTTTATGATTTTTGAGCAAATAGTCTGTTCAGTCTGTCAGCCAATTCAACAACAAATTATGCGTCTAAAGTTGTTGTCGTCATAGGATGTCTGTGTATATAATTTAAACATTGTTTGTATAGTGTGTAACCACATGTTTATATACATTTAAAGATATTGTATTAAAAACTGCATATATGTTGTTGTTCTGTATGTTAGCCATCTTCTCACATTTGCCACAGAAGCACCTGTATGACAAGTAAACATGACGCCACAGCTCCCTCGCATAAATGTAATTTCGCTTGTAAGTAGCAAACTTTCACCGAATGTGTATGTAGTTTCAAAAAAATGCGCCAGCATTAGAGTTTGTGTGTGTCTGTGTGTGTGTTGCACATCCATACTCGCAAAAAGACGCGATTACAACTCTATAAGTACATAAATGTATCAAATAACCATACAGAGGCGTACTGGTCCATTCTCATTTGTGTTTATTCTGCCGGAGTCTCTTCGTACTATTTATATATTCCGATTCAAACGTACGCTGAATGACATTCAAAACAGCGGTTTCTCACACTCTCTCAGTACCGACTGCCATAGGTATCAAGTTACGCCCTCATCCAAAGGCAGGGCGGGGATATGCAGCTCATTTGCATTTAAGGTCGTATACCCCCATAACAGCTCATTTTTAATCAGGTCCCAAAATGACATTTTCAAATGGTTATAATAAATTAACTGTGGGGTATTTTGAGCTGAAACTTCACAAATACATTCTAGGGACACCAGAGACCAATATTACATCTTGTAAAAAGGGGCATAATAGGTGCCCTTTAAATCAACTCTTTAAACACATTTTAATTCTTTAGCTTTGGGAAACTTGTAATTGTTTTTTTTTTCCAGCTATGCACTATACACAGCACTTTGGGTCGATTTGTATTGTGTTAAATGTGCTTTACATTTGTTGTTGTTGGACAGTGGGAGTGCCTGTGGTCGAGCACTGACCTGTGGAAGTGCTGGAAGAGGACCAGCCGGTTCTCCTCCTGGAAGAGCCGAGCGTGTGCCGTCACTGAGGGTCTCTGAGCTCACCGACGCCTGCTGGAGTGACGCTCGCAGCTTCAGTGTGTGTTGATACTCCTGCAGGCGTCGCCTCGCCTCCTCCACGCTCTTCTGATGAAGCCTGTGGGAAGAGCGCAGGCACAGCGTCACACATCTGCTGCATCACGAACACATTTGCTGCTGATGTGGAGCCGGTCTGACCTGTTCTGCTGCAGGAGTCTCTGCTGGTACTGATGGAGTCTCTGCGTGTGCAGCTCATCCTGCAAACACACACAACTTTTATGTGTCAGAGAGAAATGTCACATTATATCCCGTGTTTGTTGGTGCTTGTATAATGCGTCGCCACTTGTTTGGTCACGATTCCTTGATTAAATTTGAGTACAAGATTTTTCCAAAATCCTCGATTTCGGTTTACTAGTGTCGAGTAACCAGTGGCTTATTCCACAGACAAGAATCCATGAACCGCATTATTACACCGTTTTCTAAGGCCACACAATATATTAAAACAATTTTGAAAACATACTACAGCATAAATAATGCTTTGCATATCACTTTTAACGCAAATCATTTATAAACCCAGAACACATCAACATGTTGTCTCTCAATATGCAAAATTGTTCATCAGCATTTCAAAATAAGTCTAAACCCTCGCCTAGGCTTGCCGCGATAGACCGTGTTGACGGTGTTACCGGTTTTAAGCCCCATCACCGGTGACATCACTTTCCCACCGTGACACCGCGATGTCTTGACTTTTTTTTTTAAAAGTATTAGTTTTTGCTAAAATATTTATTTGAATTAATTAAAAATAATAATTTTCAATTATTTAGTTCTGAAGAGAGCATTATAATTAAAAATGAACTGCGCAACGCGTGCCGTCACGTCACAGATCAGCAAGCATCAGGATTCCATTTAGCACGTGTGGAGACGAGAACGAGTCAAATTACAGAAAAGCAAGATAATGGCGGAAGATTTGGTGTCAAAACGCAATGCAAAAGCGCCTGTTTGGCAATATTTTGGCCAATATATATTAATGTTAATAAATGCCAATTTATAGTGTTTTACTTTTTTTTAGAGTGCTGTCATTTATGTAGGCTAAGGTCCTTTTTAAAGTTTTTATTTTATATTCGTCTCTTTTTATTTGGTTTTATCTTATTTAAACTTTGTTTAATTTATTTAGGCCTATTTTGTTTTCTTATTCGTTAATAAACGTTTTATTTTTTTTGGTCCCACAGTTTGCCGATTTTCACTTTTTTCAGCCTATGGGTTATTTTTATTCGTTCGTTATGCTAATAAAAGTTCTGTCTATATTTTATTCGTTTATTATTCTAATAAAAGTGCTGTCTAAATAAAAGTTTATTGTCAGCGAGTTGTTTTTTTTTTTTTTTTTTTTTTTGTCCATTCCAGCAATTGACGCTGAATTGCAATTGACGCTTATTTCGAAAGTGAAAGTATGTCATTTATGTAGGCTAAGGTCCGTTTTGAAGTTTTTATTTTATATTCGTCTCTTTTTAATTGGTTTTATCTCATTTAAACTTTGTGTAATTTATTTAGGCCTATTTTATTTTCTTATTCGTTAATAAACGTTTTATGGTTCTTATTTGTTTGGGCCCACATTTTGCCGATTTTCACTTTTTTCAGCCTATGCATGGGGTTATTTTTATTCGTTCGTTATGCTAATAAAAGTCTATAAATAAAAGTTTTATTATCAGCGAGTTGTTTTTTTTGTCCATTCAAGCAATTGACGCTTATTTCGAAAGTGAAAGTATAACGCGCACGCATTTAAAAGCTATTTAACCCCCCCGCCCTGCCCTCCACGGTGACACCGGGATTACCGGTGTTGTCACACGTTGATTAACCGGTGGGAAATTTTCCTCACCGCGGCAACCCTACCCTCGCCCTGAGTTTGCATGTTTTGATGTACACATGGTCTTGTTCAAGAAATTACAATGGCTGTAGTATTTCTATCATAAAGGTGGCCAAATATTAAAGATTAGGTGAACATTAATCAAATATCGTTTGGCCAATATTAAACCAGGATTTGATCTGCTGTAGTGTAACATCAGGCTGTTGGTGCCTCTGCAATACACTGCCTAATATAGACAATCAACTCAGGGCTCCAGACTAACTTTTTTTTACTAGGAGCGCTGTTGCCCCTGACTGAAAATTTTAGGAGCGCAAGCAGAAAATTTAGGGGCACACCTTAAATCAGCTCGCAATGCAATTTTTCAAATTTCCCCCAACATAACTGTAATACTGACAAATTCTTTAATAATAAATAGACTTAACATTATGATATGCTGTTTTATTTTAAGTTCACAGGGCTCCAGACTCAAATTTAAAGGCAGCACCACCTCAAATCAGAACTCGAGTTATACAAAAAAAAAAAAAAAAAAAAAACTGGTAGCACTGGGGCTGACAATAAATCACTTAGATTAATTTAGTTATCACTTATAATGTCTTAATATTAATTAAAAACAAAAGGAGAGAAAACATGTATGTATATAAGGACTTGGAGTAAAAATAGCCAAAAAACATCTTACTGTTTACAATGTTTTTTTGTAAATAATAATAATAATAATAATTTTAATGTTTAAATAAGAGTTTTCCAACATCTTAAAATTTTTCATTTTAGGACAATTTTTGAAGAATGAAAAAAAAAAAATGTGTTGATCACAAAAAATAAAACATTTATATATGATATTATCGTTTTGAAGAGCAAGACAAAGATGTGTAGGCTACGTTGTAAGCGTTTGACATCATATTTATGGTTAGAGTTAACTTACTACATTAGCCTAAATTCATGGTGAATGTTGCTGATTTGTGGACTGAAAGCCTTCTGTAAGTCTTTCTCCTGGTTTCCACGTCAGCTCTGTTTGATCTGATATCTGTGGTTTATAACAGAACTCTGCGCCGAATCGGAATGTTTCTCACTGGATCTCGTAGCGATGATGTTATTAATTCTGAGGTGAATTCAATGGATTTATTCACTAGATCTGCTAGTAACAGTGTCGCGTGATCGAGATCGGCCCGCGACTGGCAAGTTCGGGGCTTTATTACTGTCAGTGGTTCGGGGGGATCTCTCAAAATTCTCACACTCTCAAATTTTGGTCGCAAAATGCGACTATTTGGTCGCAGTCTGGAGCCCTGCAACTTAAGTATATTAAGCTATGCATTTTAACAGTATTTTTCTATAACATGAGGCAATAATAATGGTTTCAAATAAAGTGTCAAAATTAAGAAATCAAATTACTAGATTGACACTATTTGAAACTTTAATTATTACCTCATTGTTATCATATATGCATTTTAAGTCATTTTAATTAATGAACTAATTATATGAAACTATTATCAGTGCACTATAAATAAACTGGTTTTATGCCTTTATTAATAAAATGTATTGAAAAGAAACAAGGCTTAAGACATATATAAAAATCAAATCAAACCCTGGTCAAATCATGTTAATCCTTTTTTTTCCTACATGTGCGTTCCGTGTGTACATTTGACACTGATGTTGCGTGATATTAATCATGTGGTGCCCGAGTGCATTTTGACCGGCACTCGGGATTAAAAGGATTAAAAAGTGACCAAAATGCACAAAATTTGAATAAAAATTGGAGTAGGCCATGTCAGAAAACAAAATGTACCCATTTAAACATATTATTTAGTTTGAGTAAAAGTATATGGTGTTTATATATATATATATATATATATATGTTTTATTGAAAATAAAAAAGTGGTTAGAGAAATAAAATTGTATTCGGCTAAAATCGGTATCGGCAGGTCAAACTCAATGAAATTCGGCCTAGAAAATTGTAATCGGTGCATTTTTTTTTTTTTCAGTGCAGTGTGTGGAGTTATGGTGTGAACCGTGTGGTTGAGGAGGCGTTTCAGTGTACAGACGCACCTCTGGAGGCGCTGCACTCTCCGGGAGCCCAGGACGGCTTTGAGCTTCATCATCCTGCAGTGTGTGGCTCCTCTGTGTCTCTCTCAGGCGCTGCTCCAGCTCACGCCGCTTCTGCTCCAGCTCCTCCAGCACCGCCAGCTGCTCCTCCTGCCGCCTCAACAGCGCCGCCTCCTGGACACAGCAACATCTTACAGTTCCACTAACAGAATATACCAACAGCGGTTCATAAAGGCCGAGGACCTCAGTGTTGCGTTTATACTGAAGAGAAAACGTAATAGTGGGCTAGATGCTCTGGAGTCTTCATTTAATGAAAGAAAACATCCTATAGTGCCCATATTATGCCATTTTAAAGATTATTTTTGTTTTGGACTCAAGTAGCCAAGTTCTGACTTCAGTTAATGGTGGTGGTACGGGAAAACTTTTTTTTGTATGTGAATGAATGCCGTTTTTCATGTGAACATTAAGAGTGAAGCACAAAGCTTTGTATACAAAATAATAGGCAAGCAATTAAATGTCACAGCGCAACCATTGAAACATTTGAATGGGTCCAAAATGAGAAACATGAGCCATTCTTTTAAATCATTTGTTGCCTTTGTTTTCTGATTTTTGAAGTTTAATAATATTCCATTAGTTATTCCACTGAACATGGACACTTTTCCCTTTCCCAAATCTTCACTCACATCTATGCCTTTTTTGAAAGAGAATTATAATCCTTACTTTCTGCCTTTCGTTCACTTTTAATAGTAACATTCGGATCCTTTACAACGGTAAAATTTAAAAATCCCTCTCAAAGGATTTTTTTGAGATTCACATATATAATTCTAATATAATATTTGACTTTACTATGACTTACTGATATTTATTTCAATGTTTAACAGGCTGCTTTTTGTAGGGCAGAAGTCGTTCGCAGGCAGCCATTGAAGGCCATAGGCTGTTTGTAAAAGGTATGCATAGTTTCAAAGATCACGACATTCACAAACAGCTCTTACACACTACAAGAAAGGGAGAGTGGCGACTGAGCTCAGTTCAAGTGTAGAGACCCTCATGAAGCGTGTGTGTACCACAAGCATTCAGGTACCAGTAGTTTCACATCACAGCTCAGCCGCTGGACCTGCGCCTGACGGATCTGTGGCGTACGGGAACGGCCCGTGTAAAGCACAGGGAGACTGATGAGTGAACTCACGTGGGCTGCTCTCCTCTGGCTCTCGGCGGACGCCGGCTCCGGCTGGCCTCGCTCCTCTGGCGGCAGCAGCGTCCCTGCAACTACGGCTTCGTCGCTCACGTCAGGCCCTGAGCGGCGACAGCACAGCACCAATCAGCAGCAGACACGAGCCAGAGTGACACTGACGCTACTCATTAGGGGTGTAACGATACACGCATTCACATTGAGGCTTTCGGGTCAGAACGCATTACAAACCAAACCATTCATTGGACCATTTTTCCTGCTGGTGTGAACGCAAGCAAATAAAGTTCAAGAAAGTTTCATTCACAATGTTCGCCCCATTAAACCAGTAAGCAATTTAATAGTAAATACTTTATTGGGTTTTCACATTGTGAAGTAATTAGCGCATCCTTAAAAACAAGACGTGTGCAAGAGGCGAACGATGCGGATGAGTTACCGTCGTCAGTGTGCGCTAGGCTGGGCGTCTGTTCTTCTAAACTGGCCTCTGGTGCTTTCTCCTGGCTGCTCAAAGATCCCGTTTCAACACTCGAGACTCCCACATCATCATCTCCATCATGTGACGTCAGTGTTGCGGCCCGCTGGCGGTCTCTCTGGCTCCTGATGCGGTCCAGCAGTCTCCTCAGAGCGTGTCTACCAGGATCTGCCGTCGCTGCAGACCTGCCATGCTGCTCTCTGATTGGCTGCCCACTGGCTGTTTCAGAAGGCGTTTCCTCCCCTTCAGGTGTACATTCAGGGTCAAGGGTCACGTCCAGCTCCTCGTCATGACTGGCTGCAGACAGAGGAGGAAGAGGCTCGGGTACGAGCTGCAGCACCACGTCACCTTTGACCTCTGGAGAACACCAAATGATATGTCAATATGCAGAAGAGATCTTAATATGCATTAGGCTGTCAAATTAAAATTTGAATTTCGAATATCAGATTTATAAAAATAAAAGAGCAAAAACCGTGCAAGACATGATGTAACTGAAGTAGTTTGTTTGTTAGCTTATCCAGTAGAGCAGTTGGTGGCAAAAAAACGTGCATTTTTCAGCCATTTTGACAGCGCTAGTATGCATGACCACATCCAGAGCAAGAACGCCCACGGTTTGAGTGATGGTTCATGTCTGGAGCACAAACTCCACTGAAGTGGGGACAGTCCTTTAACTATTGCTCATCAGACTGTATTAGGCAGTGGAGTGAAAGCACATACTGCGCTCCTGCGTGTACACGTCCTGAAAGGCGATCTCCAGCTCCCGCTGCTGCTCGTCCCGGAGCTCCTCGTGTCTGTAGAGAGGCTGGAAGATCTGCGCCGGCACACTGTGGACCGCCTGTCTGCGGCGCAGCAGATCAGCCGTCTGCAGTCGCTCCAGCTCGGACAGCAGCCGCACACGGTCCTGCACACACACACAGAGCAGAGTTCATACACTACCGCCATTCAAACTGCTTTATATAGAAAGGTATTAAAATAATAATCACAAAACAAAACCAAGGGAAATTAAACAGGGTCTCTGCACATTTTTTAACAGCAAATTTAATGACTTTTAAGACCTTTTTAAGTCCTCTAAAAGGCTAATTTAAGACTTTACCACGACAAAAAAAAAAAAAGGAAAATAATCAGCACGACGCGACAATTTAATAATTTTGGCAGCCATTTTTGTTTTAGTCTTCAGATGAAAATTCTTATTGGTCTTAGTCACATTTTAGTCAGTAATTTTGTCTTTCATAGTTTTAATCTAGTTTTATTGCATTTCTTTGTCAACTTTTAGTCAAACTTCAGTTACCGACATTAATTTTGGTAGCTATTTTATATGTAGTTTTTAGGAAGAAAAAAAAATGACATTATAATTTTTAACTTTAGGCCAATTCAATTAAGCTTATGAGACATTTGAATGAAGGAAACAGGCTGTATTGAGAATGCACTCTTTAGCAGGAGCACTTGTGCAATTCTACAGATCCCTGTTCCTCAGTTCAGTGGTTCTCCAATTTTTTTACAGTGCCGTAACCCCTCTTGCACTCAGACTGCAGTCACAGCTTTTCCATTTAGGGACAATATCTGCCCCTTTTAATCGATTTTATCCAGTTCATTTTTTTACCTTTAAAAATACTTTCGTAAAATAAATAATGCTTTAAAATAAAACAATGTTCAATAAATATCCAATGATGGTAAAAATGAGGTGATACTTTTAAACATTCAATTAAAATCGCCAGTAGGTGACGGTAAGTCACTGTCTTTATGAGCGAGTCATCAGTCATCGAGTCATTCATTCATCAGTAACAAACATGGTAACAAAGCAAGTGGCTGTATTTATGAACGGATTTATGTATGTATTTATGATCACCACTGTTTGCTGCAGTTCTGCAGTGGCTTTTGTTGCAAAACAGCAATAATATGATCAACAATCAACATTAAAAACACTGCTGGATATCAGCCTGTATTGATCTCAGATTTAGTCGCACAAACAGCTTGTGACAGAATAAAGACCAACTGAATGACACTAATTAATTTAAGTAGATAATCTCAAATGAAGATCACTGAACTCCAGCTACTTGTCTGTGTTTTCAGATCACCCGCGCTTCTACAGCAATGTAGTAAAGCACGCGCGAGCATGGTTGCCAGATACTACCGACAAGACCGGGTAGATGTGTTCTTTTAAAGGAACACTCCGACTTTTTGGGACTTTAGCCTATTCACCTTACCCCCCAGAGTTAGATAAGTCCATACATACCTTTTTCATCTCCGTGCGTGCTAGAAGTCTGTTTGACGCACCCACCGCTAGCCTAGCTTAGCACAAAGACTGGATGTGAATGGTTGCAGCTTTCATACTAATCCAAATGAGTGACAAAATAACGCAAACGTTTTCCTATTTACATGTTGTGGTTTGTATAGTCACAGAATGTACAAATATCAAGGCCATATGAGACACAGACATCTTTTGACCGAATAAATACTATATTTTCTGAAGGGGAAGCACTGCTACTTGGGCAGAGTGATAACGATCACCTGAGACGCACCGTGACGAGGAGCAGAGAGTTCGCTTCGCTCAGTGTTGGAGTAAAGAGTCAGCAATTACTAACGTTAGATAGAAAAGCATAGTTTATCATGGGTGTTTGCTTTATTGTATGAGCTGTGGCAATAAACAGGGGAGACCAGGTAATACAGTACCATGTTTCATTGATTTCCAACCAAAAACGCACCCAGATTTATAAATATCACATGAATAAATAATTATTATTACAGGATCAATATATTTTAAATGCAATTTATTAGCTCAACCAAATGTATTCAACAGTATATAATATACAGTATTGCATTACTATAGGATAGAATAAGGGGAAAGTAATAGCACAAATTAATTTTGCACAATGAACTCACAGCCTATCGTACCCTTTTGCACGCTCAAGTTCGTTATTTCCATGGTTATTTCAAATTTAGGCTAGGCGCGCCGCGCGCGGTGCAAGTTCAACGCGGTGAACGCGCTCGTTTTTTTTCCAAGCGCGTCCGCACCGCATTAAGATAAAAACATATTCATACCCTAATCATATAATAGTGTCACTAACGTTAAATTAGCTCTGGCTAATAATGGCACTGTTACAGTAGGTCATCTAAAAACATAACGGAACACTTACCTCAGCCGCAGGTGATCCACTTGTCCTGTCTGTGCTATCGATGGGATGGCCGTATCCTTCAGCACATTATGGTCCGTGTGGCAAATTCCATTTTTTCAAAATAGTCGTCCTCATTGAAATGTACCGAGCAAACATAATGTCCCTTGATAATCTTAGGTGTGTTTGGATAAATATCCAGAGTAAGTTAGCCATTTCTTCATCCAGTCAGCGTTTTTAGTTGGAATTCTGTGAAACATGGTATTACCTCCCCTGTTTACTGTCGCAGCTATTTACAATAGAGCGAAAACCCATGACTCTAAACTACGCTTTTACTATTTATAAATTGCTGACTCTGTTACCCAAACACTGAGCGAACTCTCCTCACCACGGCGTGTCTCCGGTGATGCGGTTATCACTCCCTCAAAGTAGCAGTGCTTCGCCTTCAGAGAATAGTTCCCAGGTTTTATACGGTTAAAAGATGTCTGTGTCTCATTTGACTTTGTTATTTGTACATTATGTGACTATACAAATCACAACATGTAAATAGGAAAACGTTTGCGTTATTTTGCCACTCATTTGGATTAGTATGAAAGCTGCAACCATTCACATCCAGTCTTTGTGCTAAGCTAGGCTAGCGGTGGGTGCGTCAAACAGACTTCTAGCACGCACGGAGATGAAAAAGGTATGTATGGACTTATCTAACTCTGGGGGGGTAAGGTGACTAGGCTAAAGTCCCAAAAAGTCGGAGTGTTCCTTTAACAGAAAAGCACTGACTGGGGATTTAATTACTTAAATCTGGCAACCAAGTATTAACGGCCATAAACACAGTCTGTTAACAAAACAAAAAAAAACGGATGACGAGTCGGACAAAAAATTTAAGGTCCGTACGTGAAATTTAAGACCTCCTTATCGGAAATTTCAGATTTTAAGACATTTTCAGGCCTTAAAAAGTGAAAATGCTGTAAGATTGGGGACCATGGTGTTCTCACACACACGTGGCGTGTGGTGTAGCGGCTGTACCTGTGTGTGCTGCTCTCTGCGGAGCGCGTGTGTCCCCCTGAGACGAGCCTTCTCCAGCTGCTCCTGTCGCTCACGAGCGGCCTCTCTCCGCAGATCCTCCAGCCGCTGGAGCTCCAGAGCCGCGGCCTGTCGAGCGCTGGGCTGAGCAGGAAACACCACAGCACACACCAGTCAAAACCCTTTTACCACGCAAGAGGAGCCCACTGGTACTTGTTTAGGCATGAGGGAACATAGAGCATTATTGACCGCACATCATTAGCAGTGTTGGTTCTGGAGTATTTTTCCACTCATTTCTCCCATGGGGATTTCGAAAAACGTCTCTGTTAACGTCTGAGATAGGGTGTGTTCACTCTTGTAATTCGATTTGCATTGTTCATTTGGTAGAAACCCCATATTTAGTCCTGGTCCACTTAGCATTCATATGGGCATTTTAACACCGAGTCTAAAGATACAGAACCTAACGCCCTGTCCTAACTACACACGGCGCGTGATAAAAGGGACTTTTCCACGTTAATCAGAGCTTTTGTCCTAAGCAGCCACGACTGCGACGAGGCTATTTTTAGAAACGGTTTCCATTTTCAGGGCTTAAAGCAAGAAAAGGTTTGAGGCCTGAAAAGTTGTCCGGGAGGAAATGTGCACAATGTATTCAATTAATGCTAGGGATGTCCCGATACCACTTTTTCACTTCCGATACCGATGCCACAGTTTTGGCTTTTGCCGATACCGATATTAATCCGATATTTTTATTTTATTTTTAAACTAATAAAAAATATAGAAATTTTCTCAATTAGCCCCTTAAAATATACCTCCAGTATATAGTTCACAACCCACCCTTTATTCAAACACTATATATATACAGTATATATAAAAGAAAATGCAGGTACTTCAGTACTTAAAGCTAGCTAGCTACCAACAGGTTTAAAGTTAAAACAATTTAAACAGCAGTGTTCTACATTTTAAATAGCAGTACAGTTTTTTTAAAGCAAGTAGAATTTCTATAACTGTGTGTTAAACTGATCATCACTCTTGTGTGTTAAACACAATCTACTTAATACAGACAGCTTCATTATAAAGATAAACAACAAATCCCCAAAATATATGATCATAATCTATGACAACAAATGCTGTTATAAACTAGATTAGTGAATAATACATATTGCTCTTTGTATTGTTGTAAAATACATTCATGAAAAACAATATAACAAAAATGAAAAAGATAATTATTTTATATATAGCCAAGTAATTATTTTATATATTTTTTATATACTAAAAAATTGAGACATTAAATGTATAGCACAGCTATTTAATGAGGCAGCAACATTAATAATTATTAATGTTAATAAGCTTTAATTATGTCACTGCATTATGAAATGAATGACTCCAACACAGTGCGGCACAAAGCGCTTATGCGCATTCCGAGCGCAGAATGAGGCGCTTGAAACCACGTGGAGTTACAGCAGCACGCAGCCGAGTATGCACCCTATGCATGCTACGCGTCGAGTCCGCTTTGAAAAGTTCAAAGCACAAAGGAAATACATATTGATGGACAGTGTATTAAACAGTATCTATCTATACAATAGTTTATTGAGCCTTTTCTTTAAACAGTTTTAAATTTCAGTTACTGTGCGCGTGAAGAACAATAGTGACTCTGGTGAGGTGATCTAACTGACAGCGTCCGACACCTGGTAGGAAGTAACACGATAGTTACAGGAATAAAGTACAGCAAGATAATGTTGTTTTATGCGAAAACATAGACCCTAATCTACAGATAAAGAAAAATAGTATTAACATTGAATCATCTTGAAGATAGTTTCATCATTGACTGTAACCGAACGCGACGCGCTGTTTGAGTGCTGAATGGAGAATGACTGACAGCCGCGAGAGGGAAAAGTTTATGTGATCTTGAATTGAATGACTTAAATATTAATTTCTCTCTCACATAATGGCTTCAGAACACTTATAATAAAGTGCACGAAAACGTTATGGTACTTTAGAATGTTTTTGTGCCTTCTGTGGGGCTTAACAATAACATAATAGTAAACACACAATATCGGATTTGGATCGGCCTCGTCTGATCGATACCCGATCCCGCAAAAATGGCTGGATCGGAGCCGATACCGATCCTGAGTATCGGATCGGGACATCCCTAATTAATGCCCTGCATTTTTTCTGCAACTGGAACAAACACAAAATGTGGCAATGATAATCTCAGCCACTGATTATGTGCTTTAATGTTAAAAGCATGTAATGTGACTTTGAATATCATTTAGTGCTCCAGCTTTGTAGATGTGAAAGCAATAACGGATAATCCACCTCAGATCTTGAAATTAAACAAACGGAAACAAGAACGTTCAAACTGTGAACTAAATTATTTGTATTCTTTGACAAAGATCGTAGCCTATGCATTTTTAACAATGTTTAAATGGTGTAACATTAGTGAATTTGATTATGTAGCTACTTGTCCATTTTCTTGCCGGTGCCGTCAGGATTACTCTGGTGCCGCGAGACTCCGCCCACACCCTGTTCTGATTGGCTGTGGGTTTTGATTGATTTTTACACATCCCGCAGTCGCGTTGCGTCTAGTGTGGACAGACACATTTGTCGCTGGAATCTTATCGCATGGCGTCTGGTTACGACACGGTGTAAAGGCAAAGGGATAAGTTCAAAGCCGAACATCTGAAACAATGCTGCATTCTGGGCTAAATGTGCTCGTTTGTGCGTAGCTACAAATGATGGTGTTTGACCAGTTGAGAGCTCGTGAAGAGCTTATTAAACGTGTAAAGGAGTCAAAACAGGCATAGAGCTTTGACTCCTTCCACACAAATTAAGATCCACTGCGATTCTTACGCCTGTGCCGAACTGTGATGGGCAACATCGCTACTATAGAGAAAAACGGGTTTGTTGGAGCATTCATTTAGATTCGTTTGGAAGAGGAGCGAGTAGTGATGCACCGATGTGAAAATTTGTGGCCGATACCGATATTAACGTTGCTGTTATGGTCGATACCGATATGTACCGATGTCGATATCCCTGTATAGATAACACATAGCGAGGATTAGGGCTGCACGATATTGGTAAAAAATGACATTGTGATATTTTGTTTTTCTGCGATATATATTGTGATATCAAAACAATTTCACCAGATTACTTGAATAGGCCTAGCTCTATTTGGAAAGAATGAATCATTCTAGAATGACTGGGGTAGTTTTGTCATGGAGTAAATCCACATAGAAACTAATATTAATAGAATGTTAACAAATGTACACTTTAATAAACGGAACCTTATTGTAAAGTGTTTCCGATTTATGTCTCTTGAGCTCAGTGTTGGACAGATCAGTTGTTTTAACCATTCATTAAAGTGAATCGGTTCAAAGGAGTCATTAGTTCGCGAATCGGATGCGTCATTAACGGACCACGGCACACGTTGTGTGATTATCCAGGCAGTTTAGAACGTCGCACGAGATTTGTCTCGACCTATTTTTACGGTCTATGGTCTCGACAGTCGACACAGAAAACATTTCATCGCCAGGTAGATTTTTTTGGTTTATTGACAGTGTGGTTATGTCATCTGATCTAAATGTGTGGAAAGCTTTTTAGAGAAGATAAGGCAACGTTATTTTAGCACAATTCACAACCAGTAGTTCAGAAGAAAAAAAAACTTCGGTCTTCCGACCTTTTACCATCGTGTATTCTCAAAGATATTCGGTCAACTTAATTCATAAACATGCGCGAGGGAGGTGCTTTGACTCTCTCTTGTTCCCTCAGTTAAACAAGCGCAGCAGTCACTCATCTACATCACTTACCGGTCAAATATGGCTTTGGCGGGACAAAAATACGCATTAGGAAGGCTGGCAGAAAACAGCTCACCAGTTCCAGTCTTTGTGCGCTTGATGTTTAAACGCACTTGCGCTTTTAATACGCTTGTGCAAAAACAAACATCCCCGCCCCCACATTCACATCTACACGCACGTCAATTACACAGGGATGATCATCGGCCTGTTCACATCGGCCCTATTTTGACATCGGAACGATACCGATGTGTAAAAAATTTACCAAATCGGCCGATATATCGTGCACCACTAGGAGCGAGACCCAAATCTTTTCAGCAATCTCGGGCCTCTTGTTTGGTGTCTCCAGGGTTCGAATGGCAGAACCAAACAGGCCAAGTGTGAACACACCCGTATAAGTCATGACTAAACCCACTAGGAAGAAATGGGACACGACTCGTTTAAAAATGTTGATGAGAGATGTGCATATTTTGTAAGAGACTTAAAATGTATTTATGTATTCAAATTAGGGCTGTGCAAAAGTTAATTGCGATTAATCGCATCCAAAATAAAAGTCTGTGTTTACATAGTATATTTGAGTGTGCTGTATATAATTATTTTGTATATATAAATACACACACATGCATGTATATGTTTAAGAAAATATGTTATTCCTATATAAAATATTTATATTTATATAATATAGATTATGTATTTATATATATATATACAGAATTTAAGCGCAAATAATTCTTAAATATATACATGCATGCATAGGTATTTATATATACAAAATAATTATATACAGCACACTCAAATATATTATGTAAAACAGACTTTTATTTTGGATGCGATTAATCGCAATTAACTTTTGCACAGCCCTAATTCAAATATTTTGAGTGCACAAATGGACTTGTGGGAGTGGGCAAAGAATTTTAAATATTACTCGTTTCGACTCTGATTGGAGAAGTTTTCTGCACAGCATCATGGGTAACCAAGTTGAAATAATGCATGCTGACGGCTTGGAGGAAATACCATCGATTAACAACCCTGTAGCTCACATGTACGGCTGATTTTAAAGTTTTTTAGAAAATGCAAGTGAATATTGCCAGCGTTTATGATAATGTATTGCTACTTTGGGGCACATAAATGAATACATCATCTTTACATGAATACAACACTGGAAAACATGGCTAAGCTATAATTCACGAGACTACTGTAGCTCTTGCATTAAAACACTTTGAATCTATTTGGCTAGAAAACTGTAGCAGTTTGATTGAAAAGGAGATTTCGCTGATAGAGATTTAGAGAAAAGTTTAATTTCAGAGCAAATACATAAGCACATTATATTATAGTCAAAGATGATAGAGGCATGTACCTGCTGCTCGGTGTGTGTCTCTCTGTCCACAGCGGAGGAAGGCATGTGACAGTGTGTGACCGAGAAGAGCTCTGCGGCTGCCCTGAGTGGCCGTGGCGTGGGCTTCCCGATGCTCTGAGACAGGAAACACATCACAGTAAAGACATCATGTGTGCTAACAGCTCTCAAACACCCGACACTGACCGGCTCTGTACCTCCACTGGGTTTGGCGGCGGCGGCGGCAGACTGGCCACTCTCACGGCGCGCTTCTTCTCCTCCACCAGAGCCTTCCTCCGAGCCTCGATGAGCCTGTCGTCACAATCACATCACATGATCGTGACATATGGACACAACAGTTTTCCATTTGAAGCCACTAGTGGCACAGATCGTGTTTTAGGGCGTTTGTTTGCGCACGTACCTGCAGCGCTGCTGCTCCTCCTCGTGTCGGCGGGCGCTGAGCTCTCGCAGAGCTTCCCGATGTCTCTCTTCCGCTCGCTCCTGCCTCTCCACACTCTTCTCAGCCAACGCCTCCAGATCAGGCTCCTGCACACAACACATTAAACTAATATAAAAGTGAATTTTGCATTATAGACTGCCCAGGCCTGGCTGAAGTGCTCACTCACGTTGTCGTGCGCGCTGCGGTGGGCGTCCCCGACGGTCTCCAGGCTGTGCTGGTAGAGCGTGGACAAGGCCTGCAGTTTGAGCGTGCGCTGCTGCTGCCACTCGAGCTGGAGTGAGTCCGAGAGCATCTGGAGCTGTTGCTGTCTGCGCTCCTCCACCTGCCGCCGCACCTGCCGCGCGATGTAGCGCTCCTGCTCGCGCACCTGCCCAACACAAACACCGCGTCAGCAGCGCTAGAGGAGGTCAACATACACATATGGCCACACTTACCGAAATCTGCCACTCTACACACCGTTTCAAAGCAGTGTTTAGAATATCTTCATGCCCTCTAGTCGCGTTTACAGCTACAGGTCATGATAATATTGTTTAGTAGGGCTGGGTAATAAATATTGATTTCTCGATTTTAATCGATTCTCATTTTTACAAACCGATATCGATTTTTAAATCTCAAGAATCGATTAGTCATCCTGTTTCATTTGAATGAATGGAACATTGTATCGCGCTGCGCGCATTCAAAAAATAAATAAATAAAATAAAAATAAAAAAATAATAAAAATCGCAATAATCTTTGTCCTTTGTTACTATTTGTAAACAATTGGACATACTTTTAGAAGTTGTAGTGTCATTTATTCATTATCTGGTGACAGTGAGGATTATGAAACCAGTAAGGCCTTGTTTAAATTATGACAGTGTGGTGTATGACGTCAGCCACTCATCTCTGACTGACAGCTGGAGACATCCTAAACTAACACTGAAACAAGGATTTTCTGTAAACCTGCTTTGAAACGATGTGTATTGTCCGAGAACTAAAAATGTTAACTTGAATTGTATGGAACGATCCCACTATTACTGCTATTACATATAAAAAAAACAGGGTTAAAGTTTCGATGGTATCGATCCCCATAAACAGATTGCCTGAGGTGAGGAGCTTGGAAATGGCTTAATGTGCATAATACATATTCTTTATTATATTCACTGGGATGATCAAATTGGGGTCTAGGGAAATGATTAGAGAAAAACTGTAAAAAATGAATACAAAGAAAAACAAATTTCATATAAATAAAGGGGGTGGCGAATGAAAACTATAAAAATTCACTCACCCTCAAGTTGTTTCAAACATGTATGCATTTCTTTCTCCTGCTGAACACAAAGGAAGATTTTTTTTCTTCAGTTTTTTTTTCCCTACTATGGAAGTCAATGGGGTTCAACTGTCTGGTTACTACTGACATTCTGACATTTTGGGTGTCTTCAACAACTTGAGGTTGAGTAAAGTTACATGACAGAATTTCCATTTTTAGGGGAACTAACTTATTACTTACTTTAAAATAAGCGATACACACAGTGCTAGGCCTAAATAAAAAAAGTTTGTGTGTGTGTGGGGGGGGGGGGTTGCATTTATAGGCTAAAATACATTTACAAATTAGTCTACACAAATTTATAGTAATTCGTCCACAGTATATTTTGGGTCTTTATAAATATATAACTTAAAGTTAGCTGTCTTTTCAACTTTAGGATGGGGTTCCTCGCAGGAGAATGTAACTTAAAGTCATACAAGTTATAAACGTTTGAACAGCCCTGCTCCAACTTTAGTGTTCAAGCCAAAGCCACTCGATATAAAGCGGTAAGGTAACTAAAGTGTGTGTCCGACTCCGATTAGTGTGTGTATGTGTGTGTGTGTGTGTGTGTGTGTGTGTGTAAATGGCCCAGACCTGCTGCAGGCGCAGTTTCCTCCGGCTCTCCAGCTCCTCGCGCACCAGCTGCGCCTCCTCATTCGGACTGAGCCTCAAAACACTCGCTTTCCTCCTCATTCTCTCAGATCATCAGCTCCTCTCTCTCACACACACACGGGCTTTTTTGACAAAGAGTCTCATAGTTCACTGAAGGAAGGCTTTTACTGGCCGCGGACAACAGGAGCACAGGCTGACGAGAGACTTTTGTTTGATCGCCTCCATGTCAACACAACCAACGGCTGCGTCCAACCAGCTCAGCTGCGTCACTTCCGCTATTTAAACCTCCCGCGGGACAGCTTGGAGATGCATTCTGCGCCCCAATTCGCCTACTTATACTACGCCCTAAAAGTATGTAGCCTACTCTTTTTGTGAAAAAAAAGTATATACTTTTGAGTGTGCAGCAAAAAGAGTAGGCAAACTTTGGGACATACTATCCACGTCATCTTTAACGGACAGCTCTGTCGCGTGCATCTTCTTCTTCTGTGATTTTTATTGGCAGTTTGCAAGCTATGTGCATTACCGCCATCTACTGGAATGGGTAATCACATTGGGAGAAAAAACAAACAACAAACAAACAAAAAAAACTGAGAGTTAGAGCCCAAGCTTCAGCTGGCGCTATGTGTTTAGCTCCTCCAGCTTCAACCTCCATTGAAAAATAAAATAAAACTAAAATAAACAATAAGACTAAAGTCAATTCTTGCTAACTGTATTTTTTTATTTTTTTAAAGAAATTCTATCACTGCTTTTATTGTAGACTGTGTTCCTGGTAGTTTCAACAGGTTGCTTAAATTAACAGACTTTGTTACCCTCTTAATCTTTTCTCTCTCTTCATGGTACTGCCTACATGTCAAAAGTCTACATGCTTCACAGTTTCTATTTCCTCACATGGGCACATAATCCTGTCTCATGCTTCTATGTATGTTGCTGTTAAGTCCTGTATGTCCTAGCCTCAGCCTAGTGAACCATCCCACATAGCAACATTGTTTCGGCCCAGATCCAGCGCACATCTGGCACTTGTGACTTGCAGATCTGGCCCACATGCAGCAATGAATGACGGCGCTTGGGTGGCCCACTCCTGTTTGACAGATCTGGGCCACAAGCAGGCCATAGCAATGCCACATGTCAGCCAAGAGCAAAGAAATAAACCAGAACTGGACTTTATCTGAGCCACAAAATCTGTGTATATTAAATATGGAGTCATCTCAACCTTAATAAGCCTGGTAACAAACAAACTGAAGGAAAGATGAGAATGTAAAAAGAGACGAGCAGAACAACTACAACTGACTTTAGACAGAGTCTTAGATGAAATCACCTCAAGAGAAAAGAAGACATTAAAACTCTGAAGATCTCAGCAGAGGAGGATTAAACAACTCCACAAACAGCATTAACAGCTTCACTTATTACTAACCAGACTGACTTTATTTCTGTCAGACTTCTACAGAAGATTTTATTGAGAATTAACAGAGGTTTAACTCTGTTTCATTTGAAGTCTAAAACTTTTTTACTTTTCTTCTAAAATATGAATTTGCTTGATGATTTTTCACAAAATGGCAATTGATGATTTCTAGCCCATTTCACACATGCAGGCTTTTCCTTGTCTTTCCTTTACTGGACTTGTGTAAATGGAAGAAGGTCCAAATGGTGGCAGCACCGTGTCACGCAGCTTTAGTTGATTCCCTTTTCCTCAGTTCCACCTAAAGCACTTTTTGTTAATGTAATGGAAATCATACTGTTGTGAAAGAGGATTCTCTATTTTTATTTTCACATTAAATTCACATACACCCCAAACAAAAAAAAAAGAATTACTACTTTAGTACATACACAACGTTGCTATATTTGCAGTACTCCTGGTGTGCTGTCATGGAGGCTCCATTTGATTTCACAATTGTAAGTATAACTTCAATGCTTATAGATTTTTAGGTTATAATATTGTCCTTCCTGATATTTCTTCCCTTTTTACCTTTGGGCTTTTTTGGGAAAGATTTTATTTTCTTACTTTTATGTGGTTTAAGTCAGGGATTGGCATTATTTTTTGCTTGATATAAAGTGGGCCTGTTAATCCCACGGATTTATCGGACTGGAAAATTGAGTTGGGCCTCAAAATTAACTTGCAACTTGAACTGCAAATGTATTGTACTCCGTTCTCTTCTTCAGCATGACATGCCGTGCTTAAGGAGGTGGTGGTGCACAATGTTGGTGGAGAATCTTGAGATTGAAGGGTACCAATGTCTTCAAAAAGTTTTAGATAAATTTGAAATATCATTAGCAGTAATCTGTCAGTAATTCTTCTAATTTTTTTTTTCCTTATCACTACAGCCGGATGGCCAGGGGAAGCCTCGAACCAATTTTCCACATCCCTAGGAAAAGAAAAATTGAGGAGGTCACTATGGTAAGAATTGTGGCTTTTTTTACAGGTCCAAAAACTTGGTCGAAAGTAATCATCTTTCTTGTGCTTTACATGTAGGCTATTATGCAATATGCATCTCACTCCCTTGTTTTAAAGGAACCTGTCCCCTTAAAACCGTGCAAGGCGAAGGAGCCATGCAGAGTTGAATGCACTCTAAATGGAATTGGCATTTTGCAGGCATGTATCTGTGAAGCACATCTAAGAGCCATACTTTAAACTCACTCACAGGATCACAGTTAGTTATATGTGCACTCCATGTAGACATGTTACAGTTTTACAAAGTTATGTCGAGGAACACATTGTTTTTTAGCTACAGAACATGTTAGTCTGAGGAACACGACAGGCAAACAGCAGAAGTTCAAACAATCTGAGCAAGTCTTGTGAACACGACTAAAATTTCAACCAAACTGAGCAAGACTTGTGAACACGACTAACATCATTGCAAACAGTTTGAACAAGTCTGAGGAACACGACTTCCAGCAAACATCTTCCTTTAGAAACCTTAAGATGTTTCGATAAGGTCCGTGTGCAAAGCCTTGTTCCATGACTGAAAATTGGGAATCCAGGAACAAAACCTCTCTTTGAAGTGGTTTAATAACCACTTGAAAATGAGTCAACAATTCTTCACCATTACGACACAAAAGTAAATTGCAGCCAGGAGGATTACAAAAGACCCAAAAGAAAGGACAATTAAACAGAGATCTGTTTGATTAAAACATTCTTCTTCCTTTGTGTTCAGCAGAACAAATAAACACATAGAAGTTTGGAACAACATGAGCGTGAGTGAATACTGACAGAATTTTCATTTTTGGGTGAACTAACCCTTTAAGGACCATTGAAATTAGGTCTTCAATCTCACTGGCCTTAAGAGATTTGTAGGACTTCTGCATTGCCCCTTGATGTAGGAATAATATCATGTAAACACTGTAGCTATTTGAGGTATGGCATTATTTAAAATAATGTACATTGGGACCAAAACAATTTTCCAAAGTACAAAAAAATTGGCAATTAATATATATACAAAAAAATAGCTGCGTTTACATGGACCCTTGGAATCGGATTGACGGCTCAATCGGACTAAAAAACCTTCATGTAAACACCTTAATCGATCCGATTGAGCTTGATCCAACTAGAATTTCGATCGGATTGAAAGCGGTGGTTTACTCCTTTTGTAATCCGAGCGAGAGAACATGTAAACACTTGATCGGATTGAAAACCGAAACTAAAAGGACTGTGCATGTGCAATGACGTTGAAATAGCGTAATGACGTATATTCGTGCAGTTTGCGCATGTCAAAAAATCAATTCCGATTTTAATCTTGTGACATATAAACACGCACATCAACCCGATCACTTTATTTATCATTCATGTAAACACCTTGATCGGATTCATCAATCGTATTGATTTCAATCTGATTGTGTCCATGTAAACGTAGCTAATGACTGATAACTGTCACGGTTATGGTGTAGATAAAGACAGGCAGACACAAAAAGCTCCAATGCAAAGGTTTACTCAAAATCAATCAGACAGGCAGGCATGCAGGCGGGCAGGCGGGCAGAGGGTACACTCACCAAACACGATAGCATAACATACAATAACCGACAAGGACTGACTGAACAGAAGCAAACTAAATACATGCACAAATCAAACCTAACAAGGTGACGACAGGAGACACAGATGATCAGGACGATGAACAAGTGGATGATTGAGGGAGTGAGTTCAGGTGTGGAGACAAGAGGATCCTGGGAAGTGTAGTGCAGATGACGAGGACAGAATGGTGCAGATGAGGACTGTGACATTACTCCCCCCTCCCGGTAGGCGTGACCTCACGCCGCAGAAAAGGGGTGGGAGGATGGGCGCCCTGAAGGCTGGCCAGGTCGTGGCCAAACAGGGACAGGAAGCCTCCAGGGCGGAGCAGGACATGGACATGACCAGGGCGGAGCAGGCTGAGGGCGTGACCAGGGCGGAGCAGGACGTGGTGGAGCAGGCTGAGGTTGTGACCAGGGTGGAGCAGGACGTGACAGAGAAGGCACGGCCAGGGCGGAGCAGGCTGAGGGCGTGGCGGAGCAGGCTGAGGGCGTAGCCAGGGTGGAGCAGGCTGAGGGCGTGGCGGAGCAGGCTGAGGGCGTAGCCAGGGTGGAGCAGGCTGAGGGTGTGGCCAGGATGGAGCAGATGAACCCTCGGGCGTCCAGGGCGGAGCAGACAAACCCTCGGGCGTCCAGGGCGGAGCTGTTGGACCCTCGGGCATCCAGGGCGGAGCAGACGAACCCTCGGGCGTCCAGGGCGGTGCTGTTGGACCCTCGGGCGTCCAGGGCGGAGCTGTTGGACCCTCGGGTGTCCAGGGCGGAGCAGACGAACCCTCGGGCGTCCAGGGCGGAGCTGTTGGACCCTCGGGCGTCCAGGGTGGTGCTGTTGGACCCTCGGGCATCCAGGGCGGAGCAGACGAACCCTCGGGCGTCCGGGGCGGTGCTGTTGGACCCTCGGGCGTCCAGGGCGGAGCTGTTGGACCCTCGGGTGTCCAGGGTGGAGCAGACGAACCCTCGGGCGTCCAGGGCGGAGCTGTTGGACCCTCGGGCGTCCCGGGAGGAGCTGTTGGACCCTCGGACGTCCAGGGCGGAGCTGTTGGACCCTCAGGTGTCCAGGGCGGAGCAGACGAACCCTCGGGCGTCCAGGGCGGAGCTGTTGGACCCTCGGGCGTCCAGGGCAGAGCTGTTGGACCCTCGGGTGTCCAGGGCGGAGCAGACGAACCCTCGGGCATCCATGGCTGAGCTGTTGGACCCTCGGGTGTCCAGGGCGGAGCAGACGAACCCTCGGGCATCCAGGGCGGAGCTGTTGGACCCTCGGGTGTCCAGGGAGGAGCAGACGAACCCTCGGGCGTCCAGGGCGGAGCTGTTGGACCCTCGGGTGTCCAGGGAGGAGCAGACGAACCCTCGGGCGTCCAGGGCGGAGCTGTTGGACCCTCGGGCGTCCAGGGTGGTGCTGTTGGACCCTCGGGCATCCAGGGCGGAGCAGACGAACCCTCGGGCGTCCGGGGCGGTGCTGTTGGACCCTCGGGCGTCCAGGGCGGAGCTGTTGGACCCTCGGGTGTCCTGGGTGGAGCAGACGAACCCTCGGGCGTCCAGGGCGGAGCTGTTGGACCCTCGGGCGTCCCGGGAGGAGCTGTTGGACCCTCGGACGTCCAGGGTGGAGCTGTTGGACCCTCAGGTGTCCAGGGCGGAGCAGACGAACCCTCGGGCGTCCAGGGCGGAGCTGTTGGACCCTCGGGCGTCCAGGGCAGAGCTGTTGGACCCTCGGGTGTCCAGGGCGGAGCAGACGAACCCTCGGGCATCCATGGCTGAGCTGTTGGACCCTCGGGTGTCCAGGGCGGAGCAGACGAACCCTCGGGCATCCAGGGCAGAGCTGTTGGACCCTCGGGTGTCCAGGGCGGAGCAGACGAACCCTCGGGCATCCATGGCTGAGCTGTTGGACCCTCGGGTGTCCAGGGCGGAGCAGACGAACCCTCGGGCATCCAGGGCGGAGCTGTTGGACCCTCGGGTGTCCAGGGAGGAGCAGACGAACCCTCGGGCGTCCAGGGCGGAGCTGTTGGACCCTCGGGTGTCCAGGGAGGAGCAGACGAACCCTCGGGCGTCCAGGGCGGAGCTGTTGGACCCTCGCCCCCACCCCCCCCCCCCCCCTTTGCTTTTTTCTTTATTTTCCAATTACCCGTCAAGGATCTGCAGTTCATCCACTGTTTGGCATGGCCCATTTTCCAGGATTTCCCCACCTTCCTCTGTCACCGTAACCGCTACTGCAGCCAGTAACTGTCTCTGCATAGCCAGGATGTCTTGCTGGTTGTCGACAATCTCTTGTAGCTTTTGTAAGACTTTTGTGCGATAGCCTGTGAAGCAATATTGTATAATGCTCCTTGAATGTGCAGTTTCACTGTAGTGTGAAAAATCAAAAACTGACTTACTCTTTTTTGCAGAGTCAGAATACTGGGGCTCTTCTATGAGGAATCATGAAGCCACTGTGGAATAAAAAAAATCACTCTAACTAGAATTATTGATAATTATAATAAATGTAATATTCAGAATTTTAAAATATAATATTCTGAATTTTAGAATAGAATTTTAGAAAAATACCTTCAAGAGGCTGTGATATACTTGGCAGTTGGGACTCCTGCAGCGATTCCTCTGCTGCATAAACATAAACAGACTAGTCAGTTACCAAACTGGTTTCACAGACAAGGCTTACAGTAAGTCTAGTCCTAGACTAAAATGTAAATCTGAGCTATTTCAACTGAAAGAAACTTGCAATGACTGGTCTTACAACATGTCAGTGCATTTAGTCTAAAGATGCACAGTAATTCTTTTTCTAACGCATGTTTATAAAAAAAACCTTAAATGTCCTAATTTAACCATGACCTAATCCTGGCTTAGGCTAAGCCCTGTCTGTGAAACCAGGCCTTAGATTCAGCATTAATGAATGAGTTGCAGGTTATAATTAATCATGAAATAAAAGTAAAAACAAAACAAAACAAAAAAAACACTTACAGTGTTGAGAAAGTGTTGAACTTCCTTCTTTTGCAGCGAGTGAGAGAGAGAGAGAGAGAGAGAGATTTATTCATCCATTCATTGTGATTGTCTAAAAAAGGATACTATACAAACCCTTGTCCAGAGGATGAATATTTGAGAATGATGAATCTGTAAATACAAAATTAAATGGATGATAAATGGAGACATTGGGTAATAGTCATGTGGCCCATACTATAATTGAGGGTACATCTCATGTCTGTGAGATCATTTTGATTCTCATCATTATAAAGCCTCAATGCACACTTTTCTTGTACAAAATTATATTTAGTAAGTATAGACTATAGACCCAAACATAGTCGGTAACATAGTTGACCAGGAACATATATTGTTATACAGTATGCTTTTTGAAACACACATGTGTTTGTGGAAAAATATATATATTTAACATTGTCAAATGTACCCCAAATTATAGAATAACTCGTGACTCCTACTCGTGTTAAAAACTTACATTTTGGTGGATGAGGTTTTGACAGATCTGTATTGTCCTTTGGTAACTCTGCCATCATCTGAAATGGAAACATGAAACAAGCTTCCCAAGATCATTTTCAAAAGGGAATGCACTGCAATCATCAAGACTGGCAAAAGCCAGTGCCTCCTCTGGTAGATGCACCATTGAATGTACATTGTAGACCATGAAGTGGTCTCCATATAGTTCTCCTGCTTTTCCAACAAAGTATTTCATCAGCTCTTTGCTGTAGCTGTTGTGTTCAACTGCAAGTGTAGGGCAAATCAGAAGACTTAAGGCAACACTGAACACCATGAAGTGATCATATAGCTGGTCAGCCAGAATTCCTTTAAGCACGATCTTTCCTGTGTAAACAACAAACTGCCGCAGTTCGGCTGCCTTCCACCTGTCGATGTCTTCCAGATTTCTAGGTTTCCGGTGGATGTGTTTTTGAAGTGACAGCAGCCTTTGGGTCACATTGCTTATTTGCCCAGCAGACATTCTCACTTTCCTGTCTCCTCTAACCCACACTGTTATGAGTTTTTTCATCACTCCCAGGCAAGCTTGGTGCATGTAATCAATTGGGAATTGTTCTACCATGTCCAGTGGGAGATTCAGAAAGGGGGACACAGGAGTGTCTTCATTTTCTTGACGCATGGTCATTTCAGCGCGAAACGTGTCGTTGCTTCGTAAGTGAGGTTATCAACTTCTGGGTAGGTCACGCATCCATCCACCCATGTGCCCTTCTGTGTGCACTTATCACACCCATAGTACCCAGAGTATTGTTTGACCTTTTTGACCATGACTCTTGCGGGTGCGCCACACACGACACATCTGATTTTGACTTCTTTTCCATCCAAACCCTTGTCTAGAAGCTCCTGAATGTCCTTTATAGCTTCTTCAATAAACTCCAAATTTGTTGGTTTGGTGGGACCGAGTGTCAGTGTGACTGGAAAGACACTAATGGGTGGCAGATGAATGGCACAGAGAATGGGCCAAAGAGATGCTCTGCTGCTTTTAAAAATAGGCAGGCCATCTATATTAAATAAAGGCTACAATGTGTTAACTCCATCTGTAATGTCTCTTGGATAGCGCTGCAGCTGCTCAAGAATGCTCTCTCTTAAATTAAAATGGACACACTCCATTCCTGATTTTTCCACTGATTTAATGAGTCTAGGAGTTTTCAGCAGTGACCTTGCTGTTGATGGGAGCTCTGGGTGGCCATCATTTTTAAGTCCTTTCAGGAGATCATCTAGGGCATTATGCTTGATTAGGTGTTTTGTTGCCCATTCTTGTAAATATGTTGAGAGTGAAGTTAGGGCCACTTTTTTATCATACTCAGGTTCTGACTTGCTTTTTTCCTCACTGGACCCATCGGCCACACTGTGAGGTCCTGAACTGCAGTCCTCCCCACTGACTCGAGATGGAGGGGACGTGGATTACAGTACTTGGTGGACTGGGAAGGTTTCGGTCCAGAGGAGAGAAGTTGGGTACTAGCTAGAGACATCCTGGATCACTCCCTTATCGATGATTACAATCGACAGGTAAGGGAGTCTGGGAAAGCCAGGAGGCGTTCCTAGGGAAGGGGGTACTGGCCGCTCATCAGCGCTCATTCAGCAATCACTCATCACCAGCTGCAGCTTATCCATTCCTGTGTATATAATCTCATCAACTTCTCATCTCCATTGTCAGATTGTTGTTTGTGGTGTCCGGTGTCTGATCCCCCCTGTGTTCCAGTATCCTTCGTTGTTCCTGTCTGTTCCCGTGGATGTTCTGGATTCGTCTTGTTGATCGTCACTTCACTTCACCACTGCACCTGTTACATCTGACCATCGAGTCCCTGCGCCGCTAACCCGATTTGCCTGTTTGACGTTGTCTGTTCATTCTAATAAACACTGAGTAACTTGCTATTGCTTCCAAGTTTATTCAGTGATGTTTTGTTGTGTGTATCCTTGTTAATTTAAGTGCTGGTTGTACAAAAACAGATATTTAAATGTGTCAAAATTACGAAATCAAAGTATAACTACCCAAAGTGTCTTTTCCATGTGCATCAAGGGTAACATCTCCACGAGAAACTTGTTTAAAGTCCTCCAGTGACTGCTGGTTAACTTTCTCATTGTGGTGATGTAAAATGTTATGCATGAGGAAGATGTGGCTAGCTGGGGAGAGAGAGTTCATAAAGTAATTATTCTTTCGCATACCGGAGAACAGCTGCTCCACTGTTTGGGAGTTGACCCACCCACATAGCTCAGGCACAAGTCCAATTAATCTCAAAGCATCTTTTTCATCATTTGTGTTGTACTGATGAAAAGTGTCATACAATGCATAGTGTTCTGCAGAACCAGTTGCAGGATGGCCATTAAGATCGGGGGGGTCTTTTTTTTAACTGCAACCATGGCAAAAACCCCTTTTCAGTTCCCCTCTCTTGGAAGATGCAATATTCTCTGGGGTAACTGCAGCCATTCTTCCTTCATATGGACTGAAGGGCAGTCTCTCTGGTTCCCGAAAGTTATTATGGGTAACTAATCCACAAGCAAAATCATAGATAACAACGTTTGGGAAATGTTTGAATGAAAGTAACATATCAGCATAATCGCGTGGGCTTTCAGCTCTTATGTTGAACTTGACCGAGTTCACAATGCCACATGAACACTGCCCAGCCACCTTGAAATGGAAATACACACGATTAGCTTGACCATTAACCTAGCTGTCTTCAGGTACACGTACAGACACATAGTGACAGGTTTACAATAATTCAATATTTTCTTATGTCATTACATAAATATGTACTACATAAATGTAGGACACTTACCAGACGCTCCCCAAACTTTTTGAAAAACTTTGTTATAAGTGCTCCTTGTTTTCATCTCCTCCCTCAAACGGAGGAGAAGATCCATTTTGGAGCCTTTTGAGTCAACGCCACATTCTTTAACAAGTTTCCTCAAGGCATCAACCTGTGTAAAAGTAGATGCAACAACGGCCATTAATTAAAAAGCAGGATACATCACCATAATCTTCTTTGCACTTTTAGCATTTAGTAAATAGCCTAATCTGGAGCAGTTTCAAAAACATCCAGCAAAGTAGATATCCAGTAAAATAATGTGCTAAATGTGTATAAATAAATACTGGACTCTACGATCGGCGGAAGTTGTCGAGCATCCTTAATCCTTCACCGGAAATACCGCCGTGCATAGAGCCCATTATGCCATTCCAGACTCTGTCTACGAAGCAAAGTGAAGTAGCAGAGTCTGGTATTACCAGGCTACACTCCAGCACACAGAATCGCAAATATATGGCACAAGTCCAACTACAAATGCACATTGCTGCATGGTGACTTTGTAGTGTGGAGTCCCACTGAGATGTTTATTCAGCGCATTCAGTTTGATGAAGTGTTCTTCATTGAGACTTAGAGTAGAACAATTTATTAAAACTAGGATTTCGCCAGAACTTTTGGGGAAATATTACACAGTGTCACGTCCAGTGGTTTCCCCAACCTCAGAGCAACAGCCTCAGTCAGGGTGCTATATACCAGCTGTAGAGCCAGTCAATGTAGTAATCTGTACGTCTAAACAGTGCAAAAGAGGGCGCTTTCAAAAGTGTGGAAAGTTTTGAATGCAGGAACATTCAGAATAAATGAAGTTAGTTCAGATGCCCTGTAGCGTTCACACGCGCACAGACACACACATAACCCAGTACGGTAGACTGTTAGTCCTGGAGAATAAGTGCTCCAGGTTGTATTAGTTCATTCCCTGACAGGACACACGCACGCACATTAGGACTAGGCAATATATTGATTTAATATAGACATTGATATATGAGGCTAGATATCGTCTTACATTCTGGGTATCGTGATATGACACACGTTGTCTTTTCCTGGTTTTAAAGGCTGCATTACAGTGAAGTGATGTAATTTTCTGGACTTATTTACTGTTTTATAATTTGCCATGGTATCATCATCATAACTGTCATTGTGTAAATATTTTGTGAAAGCACCAAAAGTAAACCCTTCTATATCGACATTGATGTTTGATTTTCTCCATATCACCCAGCTCTAACGCACACTGACCGTATCAAGTTCTCTGTGCCCACACAGTCTCATCCCAAGACGTCATATAACTGACGTTTTGGGACGTCTTTTGACCATATGTCAATATTCGCCTTTTTAGGGCCCCCTTAAACGTCGGTAGATGAGGTTATGGGATCCTAACTCTACCCCATACCTAAACCTAACCCTAAACCTAACCCGTCACCTAACTGACGTTAAAGGTAAAGCGTCAGTTGTATGACGGCCCGGGATCGCCATCTACCGACGTTTAAGGGGGGCCTAAAAAGGCGGATATTGACGTATGGTCAAAAGACGTCCCAAGACGTCAGTTATATGACTTTTTGGGATGAGACTGTGTTGTCTGTGCGTGATTCACAGAAGTTATTTAGCTTTTTTGATTTGTATAGTTATTTTTGTTGTGGATGTTCCTCCTATTGGCTTTCAGCTGGTTTTGGAGTGGCCTGTGTTGTCTGCCAAAGTGAAATACTATCTTGAAAATATATATATTTATCATAATTCCATATCCTGCTAATTGAATTAATAAGCAGTGAGTTTTACTGGTCTTATTCTTCTGTTTTTAAGAAGTCGATAAATCAAATATTTATACTGTATCAGCCATAAAAACTCTCCAGTGTGTCTTATTGTCACATCAAAACATAGACTTTGATGTATGGTTTGACACAATTCATAGAGTTATGGAACAACAGGAGGGAAAAGATTACGGAGGGCACAGCACACTTTCACCATCTTGTTCCGAGGTGTGAGTCCATCTGGGGTTGAGTAGCACAGTGTATTGGCATAGTTCCTTGCAAAATGGTGTATTTATTTTGTACAGGGCCAATAACTCTCTCCGTATGGATGCGCATGTAACCCCTCCACCCGGGTCCCACTCGACCCGCTTCGAGCGGGCCTAGAACCCGGGTCTCTGGCATGAGAGTCGGGCGCTCTAACAAGGAGGCTAAAGACTGCAGCCTCTAGAGCGCCTATTGAGATCAGGGGAGT